AACACTAAAAATTTGTTTATACATGCTCCATTATATCATCAAAAATGGCTGCAAAAACAATTCAAAGGAAATAGTGTTATAGTGATGTAAAAGAGGGAGGGTATAGAAAGTTAATATTTAAGATTAAGTATAGCTGTTTCAGCTGATCCAAGAGCATTTTAGACAGAAAATAAAGTTTAAAAGACACTTAGAAGATAACTAGTTGGACACGTTTTTAAAAGCAGAAGTGAAATGAACCTTTATCTTTTGCAATGACTTTTTCATATATTTAATGACAAAAAATATTCAAAAATGAAATCAGGTTGTACTAAAAACTTCTGTTGAAACCCATTCTATCATTAAAGCAGCAGCTTTCTGTTGAAAATATAGAGGACACAAAAGCTTTTTGGTTGTTGTATTGACTCAGTATAAAATCATGTCAGTTTAATTCAAGATGCCTTAATGAAATAACCTTTTACAATCCACTAATCTTGCATCATATTAGAGAAGGCTAATCTTGGATTAGCTTTAAATTTTCACAAAATAAAATGCCTTATTGTTCTAAAGGAATTGGAAGCAAATCAAGTCACTTTACAAATAGAAAGACCATGAGATGGAAAGGAGAGAAGACCAGGAAGGGAAGAGAAAGTAAAAATAATTAAGATGAGCTTGTGTGTATGTGCCAACTCCTCATGATAACCGTAAACATTATGTACTGCAAACATGTACTAGTAAAAAAACAATGAAATAACAATAGTTGGAGGAAAAGGTGGTTATTCTAGATAACAGACCCTTGAGGGTAGGGGAGCTTTTGAGACAAAAAATCTGTATCAGGGAAATGAAAGTCTTCCCCTGACAAAACTGAGACCTGCAGAAATGTGAAGGGAGTGTAAAGCAAAAGATCACTTTTCAAGTGTAGTTGTCTCAGAGCTGATCCAAGAGTAATCAAGAAGAGTAGCTGGAGATTGGTTTGGTGAGATTTAACACTCGTTCCCATTTCCCACCACAGTTGCATGTTATCAATCACAGGAAGGCTGGCTCTTCCATGACGTAAGTCTGTGTTAAACTCCAAAATATTTGTTTTTCATATAGAAACAAATACAGTAAGTACATGAAGATAGTAAGATTAGCCAATAAAAGATATAATGTACAACTTGTTTGGTTAGTTATATATAGTATTCAAAATATATATCTTGATGCTAATGATTTTAAAAACTAAAAATAAATAATTTCTGTAGGTTAGTTCATAAAGTGAAGTACATAAGGCATATGTTTTATTATTGTATTATACAGTACAAATATATATTTGTTTTGCAAAGTAGAATTTGTTTGTGGTTCTTCTGAAAATTTGTCTTTTAGGGGAGTTTTTTTAAAGTGTTCATCACATAGTTCAGGCTGGCTTTGAACTTGCAAACTGATCCTCCTGCTTCAGCTTCCTGAGTGCTGGGATTACAGGCATATACCACAATAACCAGCTTCTTTTGAGATTTTGATGTATTATGTCAATCCATTGTTAAAGACAGAAGAGAAGGGAAAAGAAAAGAAAGGAAAGGAAGGATGTATCTATAATACTTTTTCATAACATTTTAATTTTCAAAAATATGTCACCAATTGCTGTAACAGTTCCTGTAAAGGTATAAACTTTTAAGCAGCTCAGTCTATTGGTTTTGGAAACCTTAGTTTTCCCTTAGTTAAATTACACCAATAAAATCAGTTGTGCTTCCTCCACTTCCTTCCCACATATCCCTTGCATCCCTTTTTCTTTTTCCCCTCTTACTGTCACTCCCTCTATCTCTCTCCTTTTCTTTCTCTCACACACAAATACACAATGTATTTAATTAATTTAATTTAACTCAATTTTATTATTAGTCCAAAATAATACAGTAATTTTAAAATGGACTACCTAGAGAAATGGTAGAAATAGTAAAACAAAACCACTGAGTTAAATAAATTAAAGAACTATACTCTCCAAACACTACTGTTCCAGATAAATAAACTGTGTCCAGATAAATAAACTGCGGATAAGCTGTGGGTTCTAAAGTCTCAGCAAGTTTACTTCTTCAGTGGTATTACATGGAGCAGTGAGGAAGAAAACAATCCCATATTGGAAGTCCAGTGGGCAAAAAGCACAATTCTTAGTATTTAAAATGTTTTTTTGTACCACCGTTCCTTTCTACACTACCTGCTTGGATAAAAGCATCTCCTTGATCAAAATTGCTCTCAATACATCTTCCAAATCCACAGGTAGAGGATTAAACACCATGCAGAGCCAGGATATACTTTAACATAGAGCTGAGGCTCTGGTTTCAGGTTGTAACAACTCATATGACTGAACAGTTTGGGTCTATGTTAGCCAAGTATTGTAGAGTTCAATGTGGTTGGTATAAATTTTGATTCAGAACTATACAGAAGTTCTTTATAACCTCATTCTTCCATATCAGGTTTAAAAAATTTGATTTCACCAGACTCTTTTCAAATAAATTAACCTGGAGTAAATGTAAAGGCTAAATTAAACCCCTAGAATCTAGCCTATCATAAACTATTTCAGAAATTCACTGACTCTTGATTATTTCTGAGCAATAAAAGTTGTGGGAGAGAAAAAACAAGTGTACACCTCTATCAGAAAATGTACTAAATAACGCATGTACAGTATCCAAAAAAATCACATTACCAAAGTTATACTTTATCACAAAAGTGAAGATTTACCCTAGACTAAAACCAAACATGAAATCTATTTTAATCAAAAGATTTATGGTAAAGCTATAAATTTCCAGTATCAACAAAATTACTTTTACAATTATGTAACTAGCTCAGTTAATATTAAACCCTCAGGGAAGAGCTCTATTGTACAAGTTTCTTTGTAAAAGACTATTTGAAAGTAAGTTTTAACAAGGTAAGAAAACAAGATAAAGATACCAAATCTATAGGACTGAATCTATCCTCATTACAAATGGTGATACAGTCTGATTTATGAAATTATAAATGTCTACAAATACTATAGTCTTATTGCATTTTACTGTAGCAAAACAATACTACTGAATGATATAAAACTTAAAACATATTATCACAATAAATATCACCTCAAATCCAGGCAAAGTTTTACTCTCCAACGGAATGCAATTGAAAGTACAAATAAAGAACCAAGAAAACAAAAAACCATCTACTAGGACATAGCCCACCTTTCTTCTTGATTGGCATTCTTGGGTCTTCCCACTGCCACAGGACTCAAGATCTCTTTTCAAATCTCTGCGGGCTCCAGCTGGATTGAGGCCACAAGCTAGGTAACTGTTGCGAACCACTTTACTGTTCAGTTTTTAAATCCAAGCTGAGTCTTCTCTTTAAAAAAAAAAAATGATATGTTTCCCTAACTAAACTTTGTATTGCCCACAAAGTAGAGAGAAAAATAACTTTCGAGCTTTTTCAAGTTTTTCAATTTTTATAAAATGTTATTTTGTTTTTTTAGAAGCAGAGAAAATTACTGAGCATAGAAAACGTTAAAATTCTTCAGGCAGCAACATTTTTGGAAGCCCAATGTCTAACTCAATTAAGGCACAACTCAGATTTAGACAGCTGTGTCACTACTACTATATACATGATCAAATTCAATGATGAAATGGTTGATGAGTAAAATCTTCAATTATTAGAGAAAAATTAATTCTTTCCTTCAAAAAATACTTTTAAAAGTCTCTTTGACTCAGGTCTTTAAAAAGGTGCAGAAGTTTGAACAATTTTGTGGGGTAGAACAGAGACTTAAAGGCCCCTTTCCATTTAATGAACCAGAAGTTCCGGTCTCACCCCCTCAGTAAAACAGGATCCAGCTTGCTGTCAATTTCATTTTTTTCTTCTGTGCTCTCCAAGCCCAGAAGGCTTGATCCTTAATGCCTCTCTGTTCTGATCCTCCTATGTATTAACCAAGAGGATTGAAAAGAAAGCAATCCCTTGGCTTGGAGACATTAAAGTGACAGTGCTACTCAATGGGCACTTGATGCAGGATGAGTTGACGAAGCAGATTTCTTCACACTGGAGTCATTCACATCAAGCTATCTCTTCGCATCCAGCAGCTCCCTATCCGGTGAGGAAAAACACTGAGACTGACGAGAGGAGAAACCAAACCTTTCCCCAAAGGTGTTTTCAGAGATGCTGTAGTAGTAGTAGGCATGCATAAGCTATGAAAACGGTCTGCGATTTCCTAAGAGTGCAGTTGTTTAGCTTCCACATCCACCCTTTCTCTCAATCTCTCTTCAAACTACCCACCTTCCTTTTGCAGAAAGGACAAGACATCTCTGTGCCACCGCTGGCCACCCCTGCCCACACCCCGATCTTATACAGAAGAGCACTAAAATGTCCTGCACCCTCCACGCGATGAAGTGTTTCCTCAGGCAGGAGAAACAGCAGCACTAGAAATTATATAACTCTCGAATTTGGCTTCTGTAAGACACGGAGACTGGAGGGTCGGGGGTGGCCAGTCTGGAGGCACTGCCGGGCACTGAACGTGCACAAAAGCGCGCCAGGCCTCCTCGAGCGCCCTCCGCCCGGAAACGCTGGCAGACAAGGGGGTCTTCCCGGGGTGAGGATTCCTCTCCGGTCCCTTTGCAGGGAGGGCGAAAGGACGGAATATGAAGGCACTAAAGACTGGGAGAGAAGGGTAGGCGGGGAGAAGGGGTGCTCAGACAGCGCTTGGGCGGAGGGCTGGGGGCTCTGAGGAGACAAAAACCAGAGCGTTAAACACATAGACCAGGGGGACGGGCAAGCTCCTCGGGGCATGAAAGGGACGAACAGCCCGCGCCCCGCTCCCGGGCTGCCCGGAGGAGAGGAAGGCGGGCAGCCGCGTTCCGGAGCTCGAACCACCCCAATCCCCTCAGGTTGGAAGGCGACGGAGCGCGGGTGACTAACAGAAAGGGGAGGAAACCTACTGGCAAGGGGGCGGGGCCACGGGGCGCCTGGATTTCCTGGAGGCCAATGAGCAGCAGTCATTTCTAGACGCTGTGCCCAATCTCAGGCTGGATGGAGGGCGCGGCTTTTGACTGGGTTGGGGCGGGCCCTGTGAGGGCCGGAGGCTAGAGCCCTCAGCAGGCTCCTCTAGGGAGTTCTGGGTTCCCGCCCGTCCGCGCATCAGGTGACCTACAAGATGGCGGCGCTCAGGCGGGACCCTGGAGTAGACCTGAAGGATGCAAGGATGGTGCCCGGGGGAGCTGAAGAAGCTCACGAGGTAGGAGAAAACGTGGGATGACATGGACCGTGATTTCTGGAACCTGAAAGTGTGGCCAACTTGTCTGAGATGATGCACGTAAACGAAATCATCAACTAAAAAGAACAGTCCCAAGTCTATGCAGGGCTTACATCAAGTCCCCAGTTGAGAGGGGAAGGAAGCAGACAGAAAATAGGCTTGCATTCTGTTGCTTCCGGACCTTTGTACAGGTCTTTCCTTCGGTTAGGAATATTTTCCTGTCCCTCTCAATTTGCACCAAATTTCCTTCTTTAAAATACTCGTTTTAATGTCGCTTCTCAGATTGTGGCTAGTTTCATTTTTATTTTTTAGTAACACCTTCATTCTATCTTTAAATTTCTGGCATTTGTCCTGACTTTCCTCTAGTTTGTGGGTTCCTGAACACACTGGCTATATCTTCATTAATTACCCAGAGGTCCTGCATACACCAGGTGCTCAGTAAATGATGTGAAAATGTTGACATCAGATGAAATAAGAAACATAATGCACAAAAAGAAAAAAGTCAGAACATGCAGACTATGAATCTACGTAAATCCGCTCTTAATGGTATGAGTGTGGTTAACAGCTGAGTGCCCTTGAACTAATTTTTAGATGAAACGTTGGCTGCTGAGGGGAGTAGCTTAGGAGTAGAGATGTTGTCTAGTATGCAAGAGGCCTTGGGTTTGATCTTCAAGACAAAAAATCGTTCAGAAAGTATGTGGTGTGTCTTCTTAAATAAGAAGACGAAAGAAAACAGTAATACTCTACTGTCTTGTAAAGACTAAGGTTCAATAAATATTTGTCTTATTTTATTTCAGTATTTACTGTCCTGTAGTAAGAATCCTGAGTTTTTCCTCTTCTACAGAGCTAAGGATGTACACTAAGTAGGTGATGTTATAAGACATTGATCACAGCAGAACAAAAATGTATTTAAGTTTTCTGGTTGTTTATTATGTTGATATCTGCTTTCACAGTAAGCTAAATGGGTTAGTTGCGACCTCTCCTTTAGTTATTACACCCTCTTCTCTTCCATTTGGCATTTGGACAATAGGGAAAAACAAAAGATTGTAATTTGTGGCTTTATGCCTTTTTTCCCCCATTCTCAGATGTTTTAAAGATTTAAGTGGCTTAACTACAGTCCCACAGTGATGCAGGAAAAAAAAACTTACCTATTATTACTAACTGTATAAGTCCTTAGTGAAGTTCAAAGGATCTACATACCTTTCTGTGTGTTAATCACACATGTTGTGAATGAATGGATTTTTTATTAACTAGTTAAAGGTGTATCCATGAACTAAAATAGCAGAAATCCTTGGTGCTAATGAAGCGCAGGTTCTAGACCTCACCCTATTCCTATTGAACGCAATATCTCAGATGAAGTTCAAAAAAATGTATTTCAAAAAAATGCTGGACCAGGTATATAGCTCAGTGGCATAATCGCCTGCCTGGCAAGTGCAAGGTCCTAAGTTTGACCCCTGGTACAAAAAAAATCCAAAAAATGTTTCATGTGATTCATGTTTACACTAAAGACTGAGAACCACTACTGGTATATGCCTTAATACCTAATCTACTCTAATCCACTTGCTTAGGGTTCCTGAAATTTGAGATTTGGCATATGACCTTGACTATAAAAGTTGTTGGAATGAAGATTGGTGTAATCTGTGAAGGTCCTTAGATTTTATATTGTTATTGACTAATCAGAAGTATAAATTGAAAAGCTTTGAACTTTGCATAAATAGATCTTTTACTTACTGACCTAGTAAGTGAACATTTGCAACCACAAACTTAGATTTGAAAGAAATGTCCATATTTGTGTTTAAATGAAATTAGATACAACTCTCAAACTCCATAATGCCAAAGTGGCAAAAGATAAAAGAAATGTTAAGACTTCTCACAGTGACCCAGAATCTTACCTAGATCAAATCCTTAGAAAGGAGGTGAGACTCTGAAGTTTTTATTTGTTCCTTTTTTTTTTTTTTAAACCTCACTGGTTTTTATAAGATGCTACTGGCCAACCTCTTACGGGTTCTTTAATGTCTTCAATGTTGGCAGTGGTCTACTCATCACACTTGAAATCTGAAACACAGGAACCTTCAATCCCTGTAACCCAGTGCCATAAATCAAGGCTCTGTGGTATACCACATACCCATTTCTGACCAAGGCCCTGCTTCTGTGTGCGGTGCTGCTAAAGAACTGAATGCATAACATATTTTAACCAATGTACATATAATCTGCTGCCTCTTTCCAGGCTAGAGTGGTGCTTATCTCTGATTTTCTCTTATTTTTCTCCAAAGTAATCCCTGCTCTAACCTCTCCAGGAAATTCAGTGTAATCTCCAAACTGATCTTTGTCTTTTATGAGACAGAACAAAGGTACAGGAGGTAAAGACTGGTTACTTTCTTAAAAAGACTAGAAAAAACTATACTAAATACAAAGACTTTATCAGAATCTCAGTAAGTTTACCTTCAATACTAAGTCCTAATGTAAGTCAGATTTTCAGAACTTGGCTTTTCTCTTCTGTAAAAATAAAGGTGATCCTTATCCTACCTTACTGTAGGACTCAAAGCTGTTTGTAACATTTAATAAGACTCAGTAAATGTTGATAAGGTCATTCACTTCAAATATTTGAAAACAGATGACATGGTACTGGATATATTACTAGACTCCAAATGATTTTTAATCTGAATCTGTATAATTTTATAAGGTTTTGTTTAATATTAATAACATTATTATGCTTTGGATGTAGAATGTCCCTTAAAAGTCTCATGTGTTCAGAGAGGTAGGGCATTTGGAAGGTGACTGGAACCTGGGAGCATTACACTTACCAGTTGATTCTAAAGAAGTGGATACCTTCCTCCCCAGCTCTTCCTTTTCCTTTCTGCTTCCTGGATGCCATAGGTTGAGCACCTTTTTCTATTGACATAAACCTTTCCCTTCCTGTATCTGCCTTGAGATTAGCCAACCATAGATTGCAACTGTAAGCCAAAAATAGTTCTATTTTCCTTTAAATTGTGTGTTGGGTATTTTGTCCCAGTGATAGGAAAGTAAAACCAAAATTAGTACCAGAGAAGTGGGGGTGTTCCTATAACTTTACCTGGCCATATTGTTTAGAAGCCTTGTAGGAGGGTTTTAGAAAGATTTGGAAATTACTGTAAACTAAGCTTGATGGGAGTTTGTTGCGGTTTGTTTGGTTGGTTTTTTTGTTTGTTTTTTGGGGTTTTGTTTTGTTACTGGGAATCAAATTTATAACTTTGTGCTTTCCAGGCAGGCACTTATGCTGCTGAACTGTATCCCCAGCCCCTTGATGTGAGATTCTTGTCAGACTTCAGAAGACCAGAATGCTGACAAGGATGCAGGCAGTAAAGGCTGAGGAAATTTTAAAGTAGTCTAAAATTCAGGCTATGGGATGGGTATTGGTGGCTACTTTTAGCCAGATCTACAGTAAAAATCAGGAGCAAAAAGCCCAAATGAAAAGTTTGTGGTTTCATCTAAAAGGAAATGCCTGTTAAGGAGAGTGTGGTTGCTGAAAAGATTGTAAAAAAAAAAAAAAAAAGCCAAGTTCCTTGGTATCAAGACTTGAAGGCATCTCACGAATCATCAAAACCCAACTCATTCCAGATTCAAGGGTACAAAACAGTGAAGCTTTTTTTTGAATGGAGAGCCCTTAGAGCCCCTGTTTGAGAAGGGATGCTGGGGTTTTTTGTTGTTCAGGATTTATTTCACAGTGTTGAGTCATTCAGGCACTCAGAAGGCTCTTCATCTATGATCCAAGGGGCCTGGCTACTGTTTGAGCTGTGAAACCATCTAAGTATCATCCATATGCTACTGATTTTTCAGGTATGTGGCATGCAGGAATTGCGAGGTCAGGAAAGTTTCCATCCAGATTTAAGAAGATGGTCTGGAGACTAGGCTGTGTGCCCAAGAGGCAGTGCATGAACTGTGAGAGTGAAGCCAAAAGTGTAGTGACCTCAGGAAGTTGGAGATGGCAGGAATGTGGAACATGTACCGAGAAAAGTCACAAGCAGTCACAAGTGGAGCCACCCCAAGAAAGAGGTCATATGGGCTGGAACTGGCAATAGAAATAGGGGCAGCCAAGTCCTTCGTAGCTCACATCTCACCACTACTTTCCTAGGATGCTGGATATAGAGATTCGATGTTAGTCCTGCGGGATTTCAGTGATATTTTGGTCTGATTCCTTTCTATTCTTCTATCCCTTCTTTGTGAAATGGTAATGTTTACCTTGTGCTACTATATTGGAAGTATTTAACTTTCTTTTTTTATTTTTACAGGGATTCATGACTAAGAGAACTAAACATGTATCTAAGTAACTAAGATGGCTGTGGAATTTTGTTTTTCCAGGGGATGAAGACAGCAACATTTGCACACACTCAACTCAGTCCTTCTCTAAGAGATGCAAAATTCAGAATGATCATTGAAAACATAGAAAAAAAATTTGAGTATCTTCGAAGAGACAAGTAAGAGACATACCCAGACTAGAAGTTAATAACTTTATTTGGAGATCCTTTCTATTGCCATTGTTTCTTAGGATTTAGATATGAATCAAAATAAGTAAAAAAGGATTTATCATATTTCTTGTGGTGAAGTTTGATGAATCATGAACAAATTAAATTTGTCTAGGCTAATTAAGAAATAATTATTTTCTAGACATCCTAACGAAATGTAGACACCTTTTTTCCAGATGGCTTTATTCAAATTAATTCTTTTAGCAAACAAAGATATTCTTGGAAATGGCCCTCATAAAATTTGGATTCATTTCTTTATATCCACAAAAGAGTTCCATCTTATAAGTGCTCTAAATATTCTCCAGAAGAAAACCATATCCTCCAATTAGATTACAAGTTCTATGATGGTAGAATTTGTTTGTTTTTCTTTGCTTTAGCTTTGTTCATTGCCTCATCCTTGGTACTTATGAAATATCTTTCACATAAAAAGTGCTCAAAAAATCTTTGATGCTGAGCACATACATAATGACAACTGCTAAGGAAAGACTGTATCTAGTACAATAATATATTAAACTTAATTTTATTGTTTTTTTCTATTAGGGCTTTCCTACCTGGACCAGTATTCTTTGCAGCATCAGCTAGTCTCTCTGGAATATTGGCAAACTTTATTTTGAGACACTGCTTCAAAGTTAAACATGATGTTTTGAAGACATATGCATCATTAACTGCTCTTCCATTTTTGTCTACCATAGTTACTTATAAGTTCTTTGTAACTGATGCTTTGTATTCAGGTAAAATTTAAATTCATTAACATGTAATGTGGTTATTTCTAAGGGTAGTTACTTACCAATGTATGCTAATAATCCCTAACCTTTGTATGTTGCTTTGATACTTACAAGCACCTTTACATAAATTTTTCTGTTTGATCCATGCAACAGCCCTGATCAAGCAGAGCGGGTAATATTGTCCCTTTTTTACAGATAAACCACCAAAACTGAGGCATATTCAAGTAATGAGAAACAGCATGCTGTATTGAGAAAAAAGCAGGTTTTAGCATGCTAAACATATGATTTTAAATCCTACTTCCTGCTACTTAAAAGTTTTGTAACACTAAAAAAAAGTGTAACACTGGACAAGTTGTTTAATCTCTGAGCCTCAGTTGTCTTATCTATGAATTAGGACTAACAAGATATTCTTCACAGGATTGTTGTAAGAATTAAAAGATGGTGTGTATTAAATGCCTAACACAGTGTCTTTCATGTTATGGACTTCTCTTGTTATTTCCAGACTTCTCACCTTAGCTTAAGTTTTACAACTAGCAATTGATGGAACCTTTAGTCTCTGTTTATTCTCCAAGTCTGTGCTGAAATATTCCTTCCCTATGGAAACTTTCTCTGGGTCCTTCATAAAGGCTGTGTCTAGATACATTCTCTGAAGACTACCCCCAAAGCATTGTATACACTTATAATTATTTTTTTAATATTTGTCTAATGTCTTTCTTCCCTGGTTTACTGGCCAGAAAGTCTCTTTAATGTTCTACTGGGTCCCTAACACATAGCTGACACATAGTAGCCAATACATGTATTTAACCTAGAATCCAGATAATCTAGTCAGCTAATTTAGTAGTATTGTGGAATTGCTTCTACAAGCATGTAAGAGTTAATTATCCATATGATAAGGTATAATAAAAGCATTTTGAAACAAGGTACCTAAAGCCTGTTATATACCATAGACTGTGAATTTCTAATATTCTTCTATTATACTGTGGCTGAAGATGGTATAAAAAACTATTCTTTGAGGCACAACATTGTCTTTATAGTTCTTACCCTGAATTTTAAAGGGAGCTAAATTTTACTTTTGTTTGTAGATCATATAAGCAAGGAAAATTGTGTCCTGAGAAGTTCACTAGTTGGCCTAGTGTGTGGTGTTTTATATCCCAGTGGTTTGGCTTTTTCTAAAAATGGACGCTTAGCAGTCAAGTAAGTCTCTATTTATTCCCTTTTTTCCTTTCCTTTCCTTCCTTTTTTTTAGGTTAATAAACTCTATTCTTTAGATATGTATATATAGTCAAATATAAAAACAGTAGTTTGGTATTCCAAAAAGCTGACATTTAATTTTTTGCTATCTACATAATAAACCTATGATAGAAATTACGATTATTTTTAGGAGAAAACGGTGAACTTTGATAGAATATATATCCAGGAGAATGATTAGCTCTTCTTATAGAATATATATTCAGGAAAATGATTAACTGTTTTTCCTTTTTAGGTATCATACTGTTCCACTGCCACCAAAAGGAAGGGTTTTCCTTCATTGGCTCCTGCTTTGTCAAACACAAATAAAAGCAATGGTAATTCCTATAATACTTCTGACACAATTTGGAATACTTAATGGCCTACAGCAGTATGCAATATATGAAAATACATATAAGAAAACTGTACCTGAAGATTGAAGAATCTGTGGACACTAATTCAACAGTATATGTTTATATGATGAGGACTGACACATTGCTGAAACAGTAAAAATATTTTGCCTGGTATGTAGCAGATAATAAATAGTAATTTAATAAATACAAATGCTAAACAAATACAAATTTCATCTTTCTTTCTTCACTATATGTGGAAATGGGCTTAGGACCTGAGGTCTGATTTATAGTCATACATTGATTCCTGGAACATTTACGGCTTGCTTGCTATGTCTCAAGTACTATATTACACATAATAAGAAATGGTCTTAGCCAGAAAGAATTATCAACTTGGAAAAGGAATATAAAATGTGAACATACAATATCAGAGAGTTTGAGATATAAATGCATAATTTGAGGGCTCTGAGAATGTGGCTATTAAGTACTTAGAAGGGGAAATTACGGGGAAAATAACATGAAGTTAATTCTGAAGGAAGAATTAAAAGTTCACAAGAAAGCAAAATACAAAGATACAGCCCATTCCTCTACTCTCAACTCTGTTTCTTGCCATTTATGTATTGTCTTCACTGTACAAGACCAGGCTGTGTCACTGGTCCCAGGTCCCTTTTCCAGGAGCCACCCCTGCGGAGCCAGCCCACTCCGTTCTTTCCCCCAGAATAAAAGTCAGTTTAGCATGCAGGCAGCCAAGGGCACTTGCCTCTAGTAGACAGAGGAGCTCTGAGTGTCTGGCAAGCGCTGCTTTTATTCATACAAACATGGGTACAAGCAATTAAAAGTAACGAGATTCATCTTGTCTCCCATTATCCATTAGTATATTTTCAGGTAAACTGATCTCAGCTGTATTAACTTCCTTTCTTCATAGTGGCCAGTTATTCCTCAGTTCTCTGATGTCCCATACTTCACTGTCAAGCTTAAAGAACATTTATTGCATATGTATTTGTTATACAATAAAATAAGCATTAAAGTATACATATATTTTAATCTCAAGAACATTAAATTCTAAATGCTTCCTTGGAGTCTGCTGAGACAGTCCTGAGTTACACATTTATCTTAGTTCATTCTAGAAATGAATACTGATGAGAAATGCAGTTTACAGAACAGCTCTTTCTCCTTAGCCACGTGCAGTAAGTGGCTAAATAAAAATCTGCAATGTAGAAAGTACAGCAAGGTTAACCTTTACTTTTGCTGCCATCTGAAAGCTGATTTCTACCTTAGTGACTTGACAATTTCTTCTGTATAATTAAAAAAAAAAGTGGCAAAGGAATTGATAACTTTCTCTTGGCTTTGGAAAGCAGTACTTGCTTTCATTGCAAGTATAAAAAGTTTGGGAAACCTTGGTCCTCTGGACTCAAGCCAAAAGGTAAAACTAGTTGAACTATAGTGAAGAAAGCGAGGTTCTTTAAGGCAAAACAGTACATAGGTAAAAAGTACAGCCTGTAACACTGAAGGTTCAAACCCTATGTCCCTGCTTAACTGGCACCTCAGCTTCCTCATCTGTAAAATGAATATTGAAAAGTAGAGTGTTGTAAGGATTGAATCGGTTAAATATAAAAATCATAAGTGCTCAAACAAGGTTTTATGTTAACTGCCTAGTCCACGTGGTATGCTATAACAAAACAAAATTTTAAAAAGCCTAAAGTTTATTTTTCACAGTTTTGGAGGCTGAAGAGTCCAGAATCAATATACCGGTAGCTTTGATGTCTGGTGAGAGCCTACTTTGTGGTTCATAGATAGAAGTGCCTTTTTCTTGTATGCTACATGGTGGAAGATGTAGGAGATGTGGAAAGAGAACTTTCAGAGGTAATAATATTCATGAGGACTTTTTCCTCCTGACCTAATTATCTCCCAAAGGCCCTACATCTTATTTTCTTTTCTTTTCTTTTTTTTTTTTTTTCCTTGAGACAGGTTTACTATGCAGTTCAGGCTGGCTTTAAGCTCATTTTGTAACACAGGCTGGTCCTCGAACTTGAGACGATCCTCATGCCTCAGCCTCCTGAATGCTGATGAGGATTCAGAGAAAGGAAAACTCTCAAACCCTGGTAGAAGGAATATAAATTAGTACAATCACTATGAAAAACATTTGGATGTTCAAAAAAAACAAAAACAACAACAACAAAAAAAAAAAACAGGAAGAAAAATACCACGCTATCCAGCAATTCCATAATTGGGTATATATCTAAAGGAATTAAAATCAGTACATTGAAATGTTATCTGTGCTCAGGCTTGCTACATACAGCATTACTCAGAAAACCAACAATCAACCTAAGTGTCCTGTGGCAAAAAAATTGGATAAAGAAAATTATATACATGTACATATATAGAATCATATATATGAATATTAGTCAACCATAAAAAACAATTAAATTTTTGCAACAATATGGATATAATGATGTTATGTTAAGTGAAAGGCAAATACTTCATTTTCCAATTTACATGTGAAAGCTAAAAAAACTGAACTCAAAGAATAGAATAGTAGTTATCAGAGCCTATGAAATGTGTGGAGAAAGAAGGGATAAAAAGAGAATGACTAATCAGAGTAGGTGGGCATAGATAATGTGTTATCTAGTCAAAAAAAATGAAACAATTTTCAATGTTTAAACCACAAATAAATGATAAATATTTGAGGACATAATATGCTTATTCTGATTTGCACATTATGCAATATACACAGTATATATATTTTAAAAACCACATGGTACTCAATGTACAATTTTTAGATGTCAATTAAAAAATTCTATAAGGGCCAAGAGTTTAGCTCAATGGTTCAAGGGCTTGACAGGTAAGCAAGAGGTTTTGAGTTTGATCCCTGCTTCAAAAAAAAAAAAACACCATAAGGCAATAATCAAAACTTTATCAAACATACATAAAAATAAATGCATAGTCCAAAGCAAGAGAATAATGATGCCACAGCTAAATCCTTACATTTATCATCATATGATTTTTAACAAGGGTGATAAAACTAGCCAGTGCAATGAAGGGCTAGGGTGGAGCCAGGAAATAAAAGGCATCCAGCTTGGAAAAGGATGATATCTTCAGCAAATTGTGTTGGAAACCTGGATATTTATTTGTGAAAAAAATGAAGTTAGATCCTTACCTTAATTCATATATTTTAAAAAATTAAATAAAAATAGATTAAACATATAAGAACAAAAACTACTAGAGGCACAAAGGAAAATCTTCAGGACATTTGATTTGTTAATATTTCGCAGATATGACAGTGTAAACAGCACAATCATAAATGAGAGTAAATAATTAAAAATTTTTATGCATCAAAATAAGCAATTAAAATGAAACCTAAAGAATAGTAGAAAGTAATTACAAATCATATACATTACTTTTAGTTAATATCTGGAATAGATAAGGAACTTCTATAACTCAACAACAAAAATAAACTGACCAAAAATAAAACTGGGCAAAGGATGGCAAGTTGTTTCTCCAGAGAACATGGACAAACAGGCAATAAGCACATGAAAAACGCCTAGCATCACTAATCCTTAGGAAAACACAAAAGCACAGAGTTACTAACTTATATCCATCAGGATGGCCACTATCAAAAGAATAGAGAATAGCAAATTTTGGAATAGATGCAGACAAGTTGGAACATTTTGCATGAAAAACATAAAATGGTACCACCATTATGGAAAGAGTATTGTATTTCCTCAAAGAACTAAAAACAGAAATACCAATACAATCCAGCAATTTCACTTCTGAGTATATCTCCAAAAGAATTCAAAGCAGGATGTTAAAGACATTTGTACAACCTCTTCATCATGGTATTCACAGTAGCCAACAGAAGCAACCTGAAAGTCCTTCAACAAATGGGTAGATAAATAAAATGTGTTAAAAAGTAACCAATTAAAGATGTATTATGTACATACAATGCAAGGACAGCCTTAAAAAGTACATCCTGCTACAACTACATGCTACCACATTAAAATTATTAAAAGAATAATAAATTTTTTGAACAATTTAACTCAATAACTTTGATGACTTAGATGAAAATGACATTTCATGTTGCTTTCTTAAAGTCTTAAAAAGTTCATTCAAATAAACTAACATAGTCACAAATTTATTATAATCACAAGCACAAAAGTCTTCACAGGTGAACTCTACCAAACATTTAAAGAAGAAATAATACTAATATGATAAACTTCTTCCAAAAAAATTTGATGAGAAAAGAACACTTGCCAAGTAATTTAATTCCAGACCTATTTCTCAGTATCAAAGCCAGATAAAAGGTATCTCACCAAATACGGAAAAGATATTTCGCAAGGTATAACCTATAACTATTATACTTAATATTGAAAAACTGAGCGATTTCCCTCTAAGATCAGGAAAAAGGCAAGAACGTCAGCTGTCATGGCTTGTATTCAACATGGTAGGGGGTTCTAGTCAGTGCAGTAAGGAGTTAGGGTGGGACCAGGAAAGAAAAGATATCCAGACTGGAGAAGAAAAACTGCCATTATTTGTTTAAAGAATCTTGGTTAATTTAGCAAAGTTGTCGATTATAAAATTTTTTAAATAAATAGATAAATCATAACTATATAAGCAATTAACAATCAGACCAATTTAGACACTTTGTTTGTTACTAGGTTGAAATGCTTTAGAATATTCCCTCTCTGTAAAAGATATGTCATATTCCTGTTCTATTCAAAAAGATTTTTTTATTTCTCTTCCCTTTCATAAATCTTACTAGGGCTTATTGCATTTATAAAACATTTGGTTTTGTTTTTTCTCTATTTTTATCTTTTCTATTCAATTTATGTTCCTCTATTTTTCTACTTTCTTTTTGCTTGGTTTGATTTTTCCTTTTCTTTTTTTCTTTTAATCTTGATTTGGCCATTTTTGCCCTTAGCTCCAGGGCACAGGCCTTAGCCCTTGGGTAAAAATTTTACTTCTAAAATGTGGCTCTTTTGTGGTTCAATGGAATGCCAAAATTTTAATCCTCTTTCTATAAACTGGAGATATTTTAATTCAAAATACTGTCTCCCCAGTTCCATATAGCTGTTGAAACATTACCTCGGCATTTCCAGTCTTTTAACTATTGCTCCTTATTATATTTTCAATGCATGTGAGGCTATAATGTCAGCCAAGATTTTCAGGGATTATCTAGATAGATATTTTGAGGCAAACCACACCCCCACTGCCACCCTATGATTCTCTTTTCAAGGTCCCTACCCTTCAATTTCCAGTTTTTCCACTATCCTCAAACTTCAACCTTTGAGACTAGGAATTTAGTTTAGTGGCCTAAGCACTTGCCTTGCAAAACTTTAACCTTTTTGGAAGGAATACTGCTTTCTTCTAGTACTCTTATTTTCCATGCATCTCACAGGCTGAGTGGTGTCATCCCAGGGGTGGAAAAAGGATGAAGGTGATCTTATCCAGCATTTTCTACTTCTTTCAAGAATTGTATCCTCCTGGACTGGTGGTGTGACTCAGGAACAGAGCACGTCTGGCATACACAAGATCCTGTGTTCAATCTGTAGCACTGCTAAAAACAGAAAGGAATTATATCCTATTCAGTATTCGTAAGCTTTTGATAACTTTCCAGTGTGTTTTGTCCAGAGTTTAACACTGTTATTAACAACAAGATCTGTCTGACACAAGCTACTCTGTCATTTTCTAAAGCTGAGAGTCCCTCTTATTCTTTATCATCTTTGAAATATAGGCGATCTTTCTGTATCAAAAGCTATCAGGAGATTCAGGTAACACTGAAATCACTTACACTGAAGTCAGAGCCACATCATCAGGAATCTGCTTTGCAACACAGTATTATATACATAGTCAAGATAAGATATAACAGTAATAATAAAAGTAGTGACAAATGGTCAGCCTCTATTTTTTCTTATTGATTAGCTACCTTATGTGCCAGTGTTATTAGAAAATTCAGTGAGACTGTACAGAATTGTTCTATTATAATTTCTAAAAATTCTTACAAAATCAAAAAATCGCATTCATTTTTAGGAACAAAAGTACACCTTGACAAATTATTGTTTTCTATTAAAAAAAAAAACCTTGTTTAACTGAGGCAAGCATCATAAGCATTGCAGATTACTAGCTACATTTCCATCCCTCTCCCATGTATACCCTAAAGTCAAATAAATTGTTTGAAATAAAAAATTTCTATAGGTCCCATGAGAAGAATGGCTAGAAGGCAAAAGTGGAATTTGTGAGACTAAAGTCACCTCTGGTGCCTAGATGAGAGATAACTGGTAAAAGATATTTAGACCAACTATCAATAGTTCATGACTGACTGACCTATAGGGAGTAATGCAGAGGCACTCAGATAATGAATAATGCTGCCAAGTCTTAGATAGGAAATAGTAAAGGTCTCAGTATGAAAAGGAGAAATACAAACTTGTTTTTCAACTTTTGAGAGACCTAGCCAGTCCTGGTGGCATATACCTATAATCCTAGCATGTGGATTATAAACTCCAGCTGCAGCAAGAGTATTGTTGTGAGTTCTAGGCCAGCATGAACTACATAGCAAGACACTGTCTCAAAAAAACAAAAATAACCCCCTGAAAATAGGGAAACAGACACCTCATTGGTGGTGTTGTTCTTATATCAGTCAGGGAAGAGCAGATGACAGTCCTTTGTTCATCCTAGCTTGATGCCTGGGTTGATGGCTAAAGCTGTTTCATGCCTAAGGCTTGCGCACGCGTGCGCGCGCGCACACATACACACACACACACACATATATATATAAAATAGACAACTATCTATAGTGTCGCCCCCTTTTTGTCAGTACCATATGAATCTTACAAAGTACAACTATGATTATGTAACTTCAATTTTTTAATAACTAATGTCTCCCTGCAAATAAATGGGAGCAGATTCTTAAGCATGTATTTAAGTATTTCATAGCTTGGCTTTGTTCTGAGTTTTGTTTTTCATCCTCTCAACCTTATTTCCCATTAGTCTTCACTGGCTGGTGGTTTTATAATTTCTACATAAGAAAGAAGTATACCTAGGTATAGAGAAACCCTAGCAAAATTCTATTCAAGCCAACCTACAGAACAGCATACTATGATGTGAAAATTTGCTTTAAACTTTGAGATTGAAGAAAATATATCTATATGAAAGGAAGACTAGGAATTTTTATACTTTTTTTTTTTTTGTCTTTTTCATTTTTATCGGTACCAGGGATCGAACTCACAACCGTCTGCTTGCAAGGCTGGTGCTTATGCCGCTGAGCTAAATCCCCAGCCCCGGAATTTTTATACTTTTTATACTTTCCTGAAAACAAATCTTTATATTAGCTCAGAAACTAGTTATAGACTTCCTTGGCAGTAGGAGGCCTAATGGTTAAGTGACCCTAAGCTAGATAAAGGACAATGAAAACACTTTATCAGTCCCTCAAAAATGCTGGAGGAAGAAAAAAAATCTGAGATGTGTTACGATCAAGTTTTATTTACGTATTTTATTGTAGATTTATTGCCAGTTTTTAACTTTCTAATAGGGTTTAGATATACCTTCTAAATCAGTACTGTCCCCTAGAAATGTAATACAAGCTACATACTGTAAATGCTACATTTTCTAGTATTCATAGCTAAAAAGAATGTATTAACTTTAAGAATACACTTTGTTTCACTCAGTATATTTTACTTAAACTATTACTAGTTCAACATGTAATATGAAATTTTTGTATTAAATCTTCCAAATCCGATGTGTATTTTATAGTCATGCCTCAGTTCACAAACGCATCTGTTTGTGCACAATTTGGATTGCATCTGTTTGCAAGGTCTGCATGGTGGGTGACAAACATGACTGAAGCCGTCTCCCCTGCTCTGACATGTGGTCACACCTTCCTCTAGTTCAAGTTGCAGTCAGAGATAGGCGTGTGCATAACTACTGTGAAGTCTTTTTGTGTGCTTTTTAGTATACACGGTACGTACAGTAGTATTAAATCTGGCTCCAAAGAAAGTGAAGAGCAAGCATGGTGGTAAAAAGTAAGTACAGAGTGGTAATGAAGGTGACAGGAACATGAAGAGTGGTAATGAACATGACCAGAATAAGCAGAGCACTAATAAAGGTGACAAGAAATTCAAAGCAATAATAGTACAAAGGAAGTTTTGAAGAAAATAACCAATGAACAGAAGAAGGAAATTGTTCTTCCATGAGTGTGGTATTCATGTGACTGATCTAGCCCTGAAGGATAAGATGACAAAGTTGACAATCTCAACTATTTTGAAGAATAAAGATGCCATCCCAGGAACTGATGTGGTCAAAGGAGAAGCAATGTTAAACAGAGGAAAAAAGTTCTGGAAGTGGTAGAAAAACTTTTGTTAGTGTAGTTGAATGAGAAACAGCTGGCAGATGACAGCATTCTTGTAGCTATGGTGTATGGGATGTTTGCTCCCAGTATTAAGAAATAGCTGACAACAACTAATTGCCTGAAAGGCACTCTCTTCTGATGGACAATACCCTGGCACACTTTCCAGCCTTGATGGGTGATATGGATGCTGAGTATGACTTCGTAAGAGTCAAGTTCCTCCCCTAACAGGACACCTCTTTTGCAACTCATGCACCACCAGCAAGTGATTTGCAATTCACGAAGCTCTCCACCAGGTGTTTTAATGTACCGGTTCTGGAAGAAACATCCTTAATACTGAAAGAGTTCTGGAAGAAACATTTCAGTGTCATCCACTGCATCAACCTCACTGACAAAGCCTGGGAACATGTTATGTCCATGGGCAAGAGTGTGGGTCTGGACATTGATAGTGCAGACCTGGAAGAGCTTGTTAGGGACCATGAGGAACAGCTGATGTTGGAAGAACATGCTAGACTACAGAGTGAGCGGAAGACAGTTGTTGAGCAGCATTTCACTGAGGAAAAGGAAGATATGAAGGAGGTTAGCAGTGATGTGATAAAATCCATTATGGAAAAATGGAACAAGTGCAAAGATTTCTTTGAGAAGTACCACCTCAGGGTTGGGGATTTAGCTCAGCGGCATAAGCGCCTGCCTTGTAAGCATGTGGTCATGCATTTGATCCCTAGTACTGATTTAAAAAAAAAGTACCACCTCAACATAACTGTAATGAACAGTTTGAATCTGGTGTATAATAACATGGTCCTTCATTTTTGGAGGGTTAGCAGTTCAGTATATAACAAGTCACATTTGATAAATTTTTCATCAAAATTGACTCAGCAGCTAAGAGACAAAGAAGAAAGGAAACCCCTAAACGCAATCTCCCTGATTTCCATGGAGAGGGGCACCCTCCCTCTAAACAACAACCTCCTTCCCACCTACCTTTCTGTCCTCCACAACGCAGTTGCCTTTACTCAAGGTTGGTGTTCTCTCTTTACTGTACTATTTTCATGGTTTAAAAAATACATATGTTTTAGAATGGATTAACTTTATTTACATTGAACCTTATGGGAAAATGATTCAGTTTATGACTAAAATCAGTTTGCAACCGTGTTCATAGGGGTCCAGCAGATTAACCTTATTTATACTGAATCTTACAGGGAAATTTGGTTTGGTTCATGACCATATTGGTACTGACGGTAACTTTCAATTTAAAGTAGCTATATACTTCATGTGCTCAACAGCCACATGTGAGTAGTGGCTACTATATTATAATGTTCAACTGTGATCAAGACGTCAGCAATCAAACATTTCCTATGTGGCAACACAATGACAGTTACTCAGTTGACTTGCCATATTTACATTGATTTAGCCAGTAATGAGATAATAAGCCCTGCTGAATTTACAGTTTATTAATAGTGGCAAAGCAGGCAATATGAGTTTTCATGGGCCCAAGTAGGTACTAAACAGAAGTGGCTCCATCCCTAGCTGATGAATATATAAGCCCCAATTTTATAAGGTGATTACAAACAAACCTGTTCAAACTTTATTCTTCAAAGAGACAATATCTTTATTATTCTGATCAGAAAACAAACCTGCTCTCTGATACACAGGGAAACATAACATGAAATCCTTAAGGCTACTAGGCAAACATACTTGAAAAGATAGCCTTGATCACAAAATACTTACCAATACCATTAGAAATTGTCTCCCAACAACTGGATTTTCTTTTGAAAGGCTCTATGGACATTCCAGGTGGAGTTAAATGTTCCATAGTATCCTCTACTTAGCATAAAAATAACAGAGAACATACAATTATTGATTTTGTGCTTGCATGTCCCACTATTCTATGAGCACCCGGGAAGCAGTGCTATAACATTCAGTAAATATTTGATGAAGAAATAAAAAGGTATTCTGAAAAAAACTGGATAATGACAAGTGAATAGGAAGAACTGTCAAGAAAAGTCAAGGTATGATTAATCTAAAACTTGAAGAATAAGAAGTTAGCTATGCAAAATCTAAAGATAGCCAGGCTCACTATGTAATGTGCCCCTGTAATTCTAGCACTTAGGTGGCTGAGGCAGAAGGATCATTGTGAGTTGAAGGCCAGCCTGGGCTATCTAGTGAGTCTAAGGCCAGCTTGAACTACAAAGCAAGACCTGTCTTTAAAAAAATACAGAAAAACTATACGTAAATAAATAAAATATAGGGATGATTGGGGTCAACAGCATAGCTAAAGGATCTGGAGCATCGAAACCTTGGAGAGCTGAGGAATTGAAAGGCCAAAGCATCTAGACACAGTGAGCTCAGTGTTCAAATGGCTCACAGACATTTGGAAACAGAAACAGCCAGACTACGTAGGGTTCTATATTTCATGTTAAAGACTTGAGGTTTTATTCAAAGTCCATGTGAAACTATTAAATACTTTTTAGTGGGGTATATTACAATATGATATTTAAATGTAACGTAATACCTATGGTTATCTAGGCATGGTGGTACACGCCTATAATCCCACCACCTGGGAGGCTGAGGCAGAAAGATCACTGGCAAGTTTGAGGTCAGCCTGGGCTACAATACACACACACCAACAATCAGGTGCCTCCTATGATATGGATGGGAGCAGTCACAAACTCATTAGGAATCTATGACAGGAAATGGTGACCAATATTTTACTGTTTCTTTCTTCCTTCCTTTCTTACTTTTTCTCTTTTCTTTTTTTTTTGAGATGAGGCCTTATGTAGAACAGGCTGGCCTTGAACTCACTTATGTAGCCCAGGCTGGAACTCACTGTGACCTCCTGCCTGAGCCTTCCCAGTGCTGGGACTATAGGCATGCACCACTACACCCAACTTAGCATTTCATCTCGATACTTTAATTTTTTTCTCCTATAAATTTGGTTCTCTTAAATCTAGAAACTCAGAGGCTGAGGCAAGAAGATTGAATGTTTGAGATTGGCCAGTTTAGCAAGACACTGTCTCAAAATAAAAACTATAAAAGGTCTTGAGATCAATCCTAGGTAACCCCATCCCCATCAAACAAACAAACAAAACAAAAACCAAGTGGCTTCCCTTCCTTCTCCTATATTAATATTAAATACTAGGTAAGCCCACATACTGATCATTTCAGTAAATATCTTAGTCTCTTACACTAGCCTTTCAACTGTAATACTCCCTATCTATGAAGTTTTATGTCTACACAGAATTTTAAGCTTTTAAAAAATATTATACTAAACTGCTTTTGCTAATGTATAATGGCATGCTAGAGTTGCACAGAGAGAACATTCATTAATTTCAAAATTCCCTTCAAACTATTAAAACATCAAACTAGAATTAAAAGAGGCAACGTAAGAATCAAGTCATATTATACACATGTGCCAACTCTCCACAATTAATTTCGTACTGCAAACGTACTAAAAATAACAATTTTTTTTTTTTTTTTATTGGTACCAGGGATGGAACTCAGGACTGCTTGCTTGCAAGGCAGGCGCTTATGCCGCTGAGCTAAATCCTCAGCCCCAAAATAATAAAATTTTACAATGAAAAATTATGAAATACAGTATTAGGAAACAAAGTATCCATACACACACAGTAGCATTTAAATAAGCTGGTTTTTCCGAACTTTTTCTGCATTTATTTCACAAACTTTCCTACTAGGAATAAATTAACTTTATATACAGGAAGCTGAGGGATTTAGTTCATTAACTAAAGACCTATTTAATACTACCTAAATACCTCTGAGACAGGAATTCACCTCATCTGTGAAGGTTTTCCTTTTATTTTGAATGCCTCCTTCTTCCTTGATAAAGTTCAAAGATTTTTAAAGCAATCTTGGGAAGCGTTTTTATTGGATCCTCACAACCTATATAAAATAAAATAAGTACTGTTTCCCTTCCTATTTTAAAAATGAAAAGGCTGTGGGAATGCGAACTGTCAGGAGGAGGCCCCAGGCTCCCTGTGTACAGGCTCTTGTACCACTTTAATCAAACTCTGCTATGCAATTAGCCATACAGTGGGAGATACTGAGGAATCCTCAAAACAAAGCAAAGCAAAACAAAAACAGGCTTTTGAGTTACTCAATTATATTGGAACAATCAACCCGATCATAGCTGGGCAGAGAACCTGAGCAAAGAAACAGCAGAAAAACGATGGAGCAAAGAAATCTCCGCTCTTTACCAATTTATTTTTAACCAGAGTTCACTGGGGCGGGGCGGGGGGGGGGGGGCTCTATTGACCAGGAAGTTAAGTAACGTGCCTCGGTAGGTTTTCAGATGGAAGAATCGGATTTACAATCACTCATTCTATACCTCAAAACTGCACATTTTCTACAGCCTGGGGTGAAGGACAAAACGGCTTCAGCCAAAACCAAACCTTTCCCTTTAAACGCGCCAGCCTCCCCAGGGCGGAAGTCCCAGACAGGAAGTAGCTCCTGCGGCGGAGTCACGTGTCACCTAAAGATGGCTGCACCCTGAGGAGTTGAACAAAGGTTGCAGTAAACCGTGGCATGGTGGAGGGAAAACGCGGGACCAAGTGTAAGGTAATGGTGTCCCGCAGTAAGGTGAAGTAAATCTCGCGGGGTCAAGAGGACTGGTCAAGAGGACGCTGTTTCCTGACAAAGCACGAATGAGGGAAGGGAACCTGCCACCATGGTGCAGAACAGCTCTTCCATTTCCACCCTGGAAAGGATGACCTTGTATTTAAAGAAAACCAATAGAAGGTTTTCTCGCGATTAGATTTAATCCCGGAGTTACTACCAGTTTATACAGTGACCTTGGCTAAATTTGATTTTCCTTTATTTCGCTTATCATCGCCCTCGTCTCTGACCTACCTAAACGTTAAGTGAGCTAGCTAATGCAACAACAGCAAACTTTTGAAATCTCAAGTTTGTAGCAAAGATGAGCTTGGGTGTGGTTTTTTTGAGATGGGGTCGGGCTTCCTGTGTACAGTAGTTGAAGCTGTCTTTATGTAGTCCGGGCTGGCCTCATGAATACTGGATTTACAGGCATAGGTGGCATAGCCTTTGATAGAGGTTTATTACTTAAAAAAGGGGATACGATGCCCATAGAGGCTGGCGCCAGTTGGGGTTTACTAAATTAAAGGTAACTTTTAATGGAAACATCAAATGACTATTTCACAGAACTAAGACCCTTACCAGTATGTATAGAACCTAAAAGTAGTGCTAGCCTTGGGTGGGTCATTTTAAGAAAATGATTTGTTTCTGATGTATCATATACGTTATACTGAATTTGATTATATATATATTTTTACACCCCACATACAAAAAAATTTGAGTCTTGGAGACCTCATTTTAAACCTGGGTTATACTGTTAACTTTAAGTCTAGAGATAATGGAATTTTAGTGCATTCAACATTTTCCCAATGATTGCTATATATAAAACAAGTATCCAATACATACTTGTTCATACTATAAATTAATCTTGTAGCAGGTAAATAGTGTAACCGACAAAATAAAACCTTGGAACTTTTTAACTGTTACCTGTAAATCTGTTGTCTAGTGAGCTCAATCTTTAAGCTAAAATTCATTCACTTCTCCCCTCCTGACATTTACCCCATATAGTACAGATAGACTACATGAGTGTTTTGACTACCCTAAATACTTGCCAGTACTGTAACTGAAACTCATATTTAAAGTTTAGCTAACCTATGGGTGCCTTTTGGGATTTTATTGTATTTGCCCAATTATAGTGAGGTTGAGCATATTTTTGTATTTATTGGCTTTTGACTTTTCTGTAAAGTGCCTTTTCAGACCTTTTTGTTAACTGTGCTATTACATCGCTTTTGATTTATAGCTCTGTGTGTTATGGATACTACTTTGTCACTTTCCAACATTTTCTCCCCTAGTTTCTCTATTTTGTTAATCAACACAAATTGTTTTAATAGTCTTTTATCAGTTTAGTGCTGTTCTACAACATTCAGCAAATATTCTAAATTTCTTGGAAGTTTTTGTGTTACTTTTCATGTTCTAGTTTCACTTAAGACTTTTGGGGTTTTTGTTTTGTTTGCTTTGTTTTTCTGTATTCTACATACGAATCTTTTTTTTTTTTTTTGCACATTATTTACTAAATCTGTACCTCTTTCAAAAGTATGTTGTTTCTATGTACATTATTGAAAAACAGTATTTTTACTTTTTTAAGGCTCACGATGGAAAATCATAAACCAGATGCAATCAAGGAAAACTTAATTGATATTATAGCCAGAAAGATTAAACAACTTCCAGAAACAGACAGGTAAGATGGCTTAATTAAAAAACATCTTTTACCAAGTAGATTTTTATTAACTCAATTTTAGCTAAGTAGAAGAAACATACGAAAGGGTTGGGGATTTAGCTCAGCAATGTAAGCAAGCCTGGCAAGCCCGATTTCATGAGTTCAATCCCCATTAGCAGAAAAAAAAACCCAATATCAAAAGACAATCTTTTTCTTGCTTTGATGGTGTAATGTTTTGCCCAATATTATATAGCTAATTTTGGAAGCTGAGGCAAGATGCCTTTGGACATACTAATTGTATGATTCAGTTTTTCCATTCAGCTTGGAGTAAAATGTAAATATCGTAAACCCATTTCATAACAAAATTTTAAATTATCTTTTCACTGGACACGTTGGTGCATGCCTATAATCCCAGCTGGGGCAAGAGGATCAGCCAGAGTTTGAGGCCAGCTTGGGTTACATAGTGAGTAAAAAAACAAAAACAAAAAAACTCAGTTCATTTCCATTTCTTTTGTTTTCCTCAGTACTTGCCTATCAGCATCAGGGCTAGACAGAGAATGTCAGAGAAATAAGATCATGGCTAAAGATCTTAAAATTTTATTAAAAAGAAAAATACGGAAACGTATTGATAACTGAAGACCATACAGGCAGTTATAGTACTCTTCCACACCTCCTTGCAAAGAAAACAAAAAAAAAATATCTAACTAGGTTGCATTTAAAATGAAAATATGACATCTTTAGGATGAAAATGGGCCAGCCTGGGAGAAAGGGGGGGACAGTTTCTCAAGCAGAGAGAATGGCATATGCGTGAGCCAAAGAATTTATCATATTTGAGGAAAGTGTTAGTAAATAAGGGAAGTACATAATAGAAAAAGATGACTTTCAGAAAATGTGATACAACTATAGTTATACAATGGTAGTCAGTTGCTTTGAAGTTTATATTTGGTACTTGGTGCATTTTGACATGCAAGTTTTGTCCTAGTACTTATTACTGTAATGCAAGCTAGAATTTACTGGTAATTTACTACCCTTTCCAGCCAAAAACATGTGTTGGCTATTCATCATTTTTGGACCTGGTCACATCTCCTGGAAGCAGTTAGTGACTATTATATCAAGGTACTACTGTAACTTTTCTAATAGACTTTCTAGCTCATCTTGGATTTAAGGTAGGATAAAAAAATACCAGTACAAAAATTGCCAGTTATCCTGGTGAATCAGAGGATAGAGTGCTGTTGATTTAAAATGTGTTTTGGAAGTATACTTATCTTTAGGTGTGAAAACTACACACATTTCAGTGTTGCTGTTACTTACCATCTCAACACAGAACTAAACCAAGAACAAATTAAAAACTTGGTGAGATTCTGAAAACTCTGCATCCATCACTACCTCATCACACACACAACATTTCAGTTGTTTTGTGGAGATAAATAAACCTAAAAGCAAAAAGGCCTGTTTCCAAACCAGCAAGGCAGTGAAGACCCTAAAAACTGACACAAGGAATAGAGTAGATGGCGGCAGCTTTGAAGAAAGCAGGCTGCCACTGGGTCCATCAACAAATTGAAGAGTACTGGGAAGAGTGCTGGAACTGCAAAGTTAGAATTTAGAGATAAGAAATTGCTTTCAAACACAACAGTATCCATCATCCTTGTTCTTATTTTCTCTGTTCGCATTTATTTTTTTTTTCTTGGTCTTTTTGAGACAGGGTCTTTATGCAGTTTGGGGAGGCCTTGAGCTGACTTTGTAGCCCAGGCTGGTCTTTAACTCACAAGTCCTCCCATCTCAGCCTCAGGAGTGCTGGGATTACAGGCATGAGCCACCACACCCAGCCTCATTTATCTTTTTAAGTTTGAATCCTCATGTCTTCTTGTATTATCAGATATGCATAATTACCTGATATATTCTTGAGTATGTATGAAACTTTTTATTATCAAACACTTCATTTTCTGATCTAAGTAACAATTATATGTAACTTTTTGTTAATTTTGGTCTTATATATCATGCCAAAAAGTTATGATTTTTTTCTAGTTATACAGAATTTATGTGGAAAATGGGCAGTAATGATTTTGTGCTAAAAAAAAATTAAGTTTTTTTTAGTTAAGAAATTAAATCCTGTTTGGGAAACAACACAAGTGTGCTTTTCAGGTTCCAGTTGTATTCTCTCAGGATTGGCTTCTGTCACTAGAGATAGTATGTATTTTAAGTGATTTTTAATGCTGCAGTAAATATTTTAGAGGAATGTTCAAGTTTCCCATTCCCTGAACCCCCTCTCAAAAACCACAAATCTTTCAGTTACACGGTTATTTTTTGGCAATTCTCTAAGTCCTCATCACTTTAAATGTCATGTAAAATATACACAAAGTTCTTAATCCTTTTTCTTAAACCATTTTTATAGACTTGTTACACCTTGTTTACATGTCTTCTCCAATACTCTTACTTTGAAAACTTGAAAAGATAATTTTTGTGTTTTTAGCACCAACTGTATACTGCAGGTTATTTGTTCTCCGTGAGTGAAATGACAGGTCTCATTATGAAAACCAAGTGACATGGAAGAAAAGTAATACCTTACACAATGTAGGAGGCTTAACTAGGCGTTACTAGGCAAGTTATTTTTAAGATAGTGTAAAGTTAATGAGACAGTAGTTTGGCTAGTCATGAGTAACAGATTTAAGAGATAAACTGCATTCCAGATGGCAACAAATGTGATTAAAAAAATAGGATGAAAAGTTTGAATTGGAATCAATACTTTGACTACCCAGAATGAAACAATACATAGAGCCTAGGTTCTATATTCCTACATAAACTGACTTAAAATCCCAATCTCACACTGTCTCAAAGCACTTTATTCTTTATCAATGGCTGCTGTAAAGGACCTAGGTTAAAATATCACGTAGATGTTAGTACTTCCCAAATCTCCAAATCCTGACATTAATACTTCAAGAAAGTAAAAGGAAACGGATTCCACAACACTTCTGTGGCAGCTGTTACTAAATTGAACTCATCCTTGTGTCTATTAGCAAGTTGCTTATAGATAAGAGAGAAAGCCGGACATGTAAATCAGTTGTTTTAAGGTAATACCACCTTATAATATTTTGTGCTAAAAGATAAGTACTGGGTATTACAGGAGCTCTGAAGAGAACCATCCAACTCAAAGACTCTTAGAAGCTGCTTCCTGCTACATAAAACATGTAGCAAAACCTATCACTGTATCCTGGCATGTTGACCAAATTCAGAATAAAAATCTGAATGTCAAGCAAACTCAAGGTTTTGATATTATGGAAGTATAAGTGGTAGATGTGTTAATAGTTATTTCCAAAATCCTGTTAGGTCTATAACATTTCATAGAATGTTTGTTTACCTGTAGAACAACAAGTTTTTCTCATCCACAGGAGACTACTTGAATATGGATCGGCATATATTGGACTTAATGCTGCTTTCTGTGGTCTAATAGCAAACAGTCTTTTTCGGCGTATCTTACATGTGACAAAGGCTCGTGTAGCTGCTGGCTTACCAATGACAGTGATCCCGTTTTTATCAGCAAATGCCTCTTACACAAGTTTTGTAAGTTTACCTCTGAATACAGGTAAATTCAACTTCATTATCACCAAAGAGTTTACCTTGATATATATTATTGGCAACATTAACACTTCAGGTTAAATATCTAGTAGCTATGCTATAATGCATTGTTTGGGTAAAACTAAATCTTGCTAGCTTCACTCTTATATAGTAATTGCTATTAGCAGGGTCTTAACAAGCAAGTAAGAGGTACATACACCAGCATTTCTAAATACTTCTAATTTATCTTTCTCTCAGCACTCATGGATATTTGAGTAATGAATATTTGAAAACCTTAAGCAATATTTTTGGAAAACTTGTAGCTTCCTGCCTTTTTGTTATTTTGTTGATTATGTTACAGAGAAAATCCATAAAGGGGCAAAATATTCTACTATGTAGCAAATCTCTTAAAGCACTACATGCTTACACAGCATTTTTCAAAAACCAACCATTTGTGCTGCTTCAGATATATACCTGATCACATACATACACACAAATCTTTTGACTAACACAAAAATATTAACCATGGGAATTGAAGAGGGCAGTCCATTTAAATTTTATTTTGTTAAGTGCTGCTCTAGTGTGATTAAATTATAGGTATTTTGTTTGGAGTCCCACCACTAGGATAAGAGCTTTCACAATCAAAGGAAATCTGTTGCCCAGTAACTAAACCAAGTGAAAATATTAGCCCAGGTTTGCTGATACTAACCAAGAGCAGAAAGCTAGAAGCAGTCCAGACTTTGACATTATTATACCCAAGGTCAGAATTAGAGAATTTTTTTTCCTAAAATGTCTTAAGATTTTCTTGGCAATTTTAGGTTACCCACACATAATACCTTTTTGTTTCTCCGGATGCTAGTGGTCAAACGTAGGGCCTTGCACATGGCTGAGGGTGGACTTTCAGACTGAACCCTACTCCCACCCCCTAATTGTACCTTGAATGTGACTTACAGAATTGCATTTACAGCATTGCCTAAAAGTATCTGTATTAAATGTAAGTGGATCTTGTATTTAAATCATGTTTGCTTACCTATCATGACCATAAGTTACCAGAACTAATTTATTTCTTAGGTGATTTGAATTGTGAAACCTGTATCCTGACACGGGCTGGACTGATTGGTTTAGTTTTTGGCGGTCTGTACCCTGTTTGTTTGGCTATACCTGTAAATGGTGCCTTAGCAGCCAGGTAAGACTGTGTTTTCTCATGGTGACTAAAAACCTTTAATAATATGTGACTACATAAAAGACTTAGAATTTAAAACAACCTCTAAGACAGTGAGGGTGAACCTTTTACAGGTTTCAGTGATGATAACAAATAGTCCACTGTAGCGAACATGCCATAGAATCACCACTGTTTTAAGGCAGTAGACCAGTTACTTTTTTGATTAGAAGTTTTAAAAAGCTTTTTTATTATAAGTAAACAGTTCTTCTCAAGAGATGAAAACAGTTCTAGAACCATATCACACTGGGCCTTTTAAGAGTGTAGTAGTTTAAATTACTATTCTTAATTTGCATACCGAATGCTTGCTACAAAAAATACTAGGTCTAGTGTGAAAGCTGTATTACATACAGATTTTCTGAGTTGGAGCATTTGCACTAAATCAAATTTCCATCAGAAAATGTCTAGCTATAAGCCTGCTGCTAGAAAATAATTGTTATTTTCTGTATCGTCTTTCAGCACTAAACTGGAGAAAGGTGCAACAAAACCTCAGAACTAAGATGCTGGACTGAGTAACATTACCATGAACTTTAGCTAGTTTTATCCTAAGATTTCTAGGATGAATACACTGTACATAGGTTCATCATTTGATATAAGTCTTTGATAGTGAAATATCTCAATGTTTTCTTACAGGTATCAGTCAGCCCCGCTACCAGAGAAAGGAAACATCTTAACATACTGGATTAGAGTATCCAAGCCTGTCTTTAGAAAGATGTTATTTCCCCTTTTACTTCAGACTGTGGTTGCTGCCTACCTTGGATCTACACAATATAAACTACTTATAAAGGCTCTTCAGTTACCTGAACCAGGCCTAGAAACTCACTGATTTTTTTTAACCAAATATGTATGCAGAAATAAAACAGTGAAAATAACCTATCTGTAATGTGAAAAATAAACACACACTTATAACTTAGCACATGAGATACAAAGACTACATAGGGCAACAATAGGGTAAATTCCAGTAAAAAGCTACTCACTTAAACAAGAGTAAAGACGGGGTATAGTCTGGTAGAGTGCTTGCCTGGCATGCATGAGGCCCTGGGTTCAATCCCCTCTCTCCCCCCAAAAAACGAGCACACTTCTCTATAGTTTGCTCAACACTGTCTTTTCTACCCTGCTTGTGCCACTTTGCTTCAGGCACTGAGTTTGGTCTGTAACACAAAAGGAAAAAACTACGACTTCACTGACTTCACAAAACCAGACAGAAAGGAAAAAGACCTGTCAATACAGCAATTGTACATCATATTTTCAGTTCAGGGTTTACATAGATTTCACAAGAAATCAACCCAGTCTCATTTGAAGGTTCCAAATATCTGGGGATAGTTCTTCAGAATCACCAGACTTGAGCCTTTTTTCAACATATGATGCTAGGTACTAATGTCTAGGTACTAAACGCTTAGTGCTCTCACTAGTAACCTCATCAGAGGCTGGTATTACATACTAAGTTGCTAACATAGCATGACAGATCAAGCACTAACAGCCGTATCCCTTGTGGTGTTCCTGTTTTACTTTCTAAAACATACTATGGATTCATTTCTTTAGATCATTTAAATTTCTGAAGTGATCTGCTGTATCCTTTCCAAACATTTCTCATCCATTTCTTTTCCTAACAGCATCCAAATCAGCCTTGTCCAAAAGTACTTTTTCTGACAGAAACGTTTTGTAGCTAGTCAGTGTTAGTCACTAGCGATTATAGGTTTTGAGCAACTGCAGAGAGGATACACAGTTACACTGTCAAGACAGTACACTGGTCTAGAAAGGCCAGTCACCACAGACAAGTACAAAGCAAAACTTTATGTATTATCCTAGGTCATATTCCTAACTTCATCTTACCTAGTCCTCAAATAACAGTGATTTAAGTAATATTATGCTGTACATACATATATTCTATACAGCAGAATTTTAAAAAGGCAGCTTTGCAAGTGAAATAGCTTTTTGCCTCTTTAACAGTGCTGCCTGATTTAAAGTTCAAGTAAAATAAATTTAGTTTTTCTGAAAACAGATTTTTTCAATAACATATTTGCTACACCAAACCAGTATGTGCATAAAGATACTCTTTTTAATTTATAGTCATGGGTGATTTTTTTTCTTGCTTTACTTACAATTTCCCAGTTTTTCTATAATGTATTGGCTCTTACAACTGAGGAAAAAAATATGCAAGCTAACATACCAAAATAAAAGGCTCTGATTCAAAGTTGTCTATTTTTGTTATATTCTGTTGAATTCTATTCATTACATTTTTGAAAATCCCTTCAAAAATAAATCCAAATTACTGATTTGGACTCCTTAAGAATACATGATATAGTCAACTTACATTAACTGAAAACCCAATGGTATCACTAAGCTGTTTGAAATAGTCCCAAAATATTTACTCCCTAGCATACCATCTGTAAATGAGTATAAGCATTTCTGTAGCTAAAAAGATTCCTAACATCTGTTCTCTGCTACATGTTTCTTAAATCATCTTTTCAAATTCATAGAAATGGGCAACTTGAACAATAAAACAGCTTTGATCTGTTTACTACTGATCACAAAAAAAATTTTTTGTCACAAGGCAGCAAATCTATGACAATATGAACCTGCTCTGAGGTGCATTACAACGCAGTCATTTATAGCTAAGACCTAAAGAACACTACCTCAATCAGAAAAATATTTTATATTCCAGTTGTCACAGTAGATAAGCCCAGTCTTTTACAGTTCACTTTTAATTATATAAGGTCTAAAGGGGGGGGGGTTAATAACTGATACAGTAAAGTATTTTGTTACTCTTAAATTGTAGTATACTAAGAGCAGAGGGGTCCAGGGAATTGACCTCAGTGGAAATACATGGAAGAGAATTTACAAGCACATTCTGGGCTACTAATTCAAATTGTTACAATTACAGGATTACACAATTTTCTAAACATAAGTAGTGACTAGATTTTTAAATTAGTTCCTGTGGAAACTGAGCAAAATATTTTCAAGTAATTTTAGGTCAACAAAAACTACAGGGTATTAAGAGTGGCTGAAAGAATGTTGCGCCTACAGATAAAGGTACTAAAATTCAAATATATGAAAAGTGTGCTGGCCAAACCAAATGTTCTTCAACATTTCTTTTTTTTTTTTATCTTTCTCGTTTTTTTTACCGGTACTGAGGATCGAACTCATGACTGCCTGCTTGCAAGGCAGGCACTTATGCCGCTGAGCTAAATCCCCAGCCCCTCTTTTCAACATTTCTAATGGAAAGTCTTCCCTTTTTGATTTCTGACTTCGGTGGTAACTCAATAAAAAGGTAAAAATGTAAAACATTTAGAATGGTCTCAAAGTTTATATTGATAATTTGGGAAAAAATAAACATTACCTATCAAGACTAACAAATTAGCTTAAAAATTTGACTAAATTAGTCAGATCTTCATCTATAACTTCAAAATGCTCAAGTAGATAGCCACATATTGAAAAGACAACCACTAATCTATTCATAGTATTTGTGAACAAAAGTATAGTGGTAGAACTGGCCGTACTGTGGATGCATCAGTATAAGCTACTGGGGGGATGCTCTTGGCTGCCTGGCTTTAATGCACTGAGTATGTTCACATTATAGGAAACTGGACTTTTAATTTTGATTACCATATAAGACCAACTATACAGTTATTGTGAAGTCCTACATTCCCTTTTCTATCACCTACACAATTCCCAGGCAAGTGAGTAAAATAAAATGACTCAGTCTAGACCAGGGCAAAAAATATTAACATCCAACAAAAATGAAATAATCCAAAGTCTTGAGGTTTTTTCATATTTGTAATAAACCACAAAAAGTTTCAATAAAACCATATTCCATGAAAAAACCCACTCCCATCATCTAGAATGATGGCCCTCAGATAACACTATAAAACTTTTGATATATAAACTAGTACATCATTTAATCTCAAAGTCAATTATTCAAATGCCTCAGGATCTACACAGCCTAGGTGTTAACCTAAATTGTAATTAACTACTTATACATTTTATTACAACCAGCTTTTTCAAAGGATGTACAGACAAATCAATGCATCTTTTGAAAGACTGTTCTTTATAGTTAAGGACTTTACATTAACTTTTATATTCTCAGCAAGGTGTCTGTCTGTCCTCCAAATCAGCTTTTACGTTCCAGGAAATAAATACAAACTCATATGCTTTGTGATCACTGACGGCCTATTTATGTAACTCTAGTCCACTAAATGTAATTCCATAGAATGTGTTCTTGATAATGTCAAGAATCTATGATTTCTTGATGAAATACTATAATTCTCTTCTCCATTGGTACAAGTTTTAAAAGATATGCAAAGAACTGAATATCACTCCCATGAAAGACAAAAAAAGTATAATTTTGTTCCAAAAATTAACTTAGTTTCATGTATTTCTATTAAGTCTTTCAAGCATTCCAGAGAATCTTTTCATATCTCCATTTCTGGAAAGTAAAATCAATATAGAAGTAATTTGGGAACTTGAAAAATGGCATTCATATTTTTCAGCAGATGCCAAATTTTTGACCGACATGGCTCCCACAATTACTTTGTTACCATCAGTCCAGTCAGTTAACAGGTTGTAGGAAAAGATTCGTTTTTGCAGATACTGCTAAGCTGTTCAAAGAGAAGAGAGAGAAATTAATTTAGTGATTATAAAATGAACAAATATTTAAAATATTTCGAACACTTTGTTGGATATATCAGAGGAGTGACTATATTTTTTAAGAAGTGTTATTTTTAATTAACTCTGATCAAGGAAGTGCAGAAACAGTTAAGTTGGTATGAAATAGTAGGTCAACATGTTGTGTTAGTTCAATTAATGTATGAATTCCTGCCACCATAGGAAGACAAGTATTACAAAACCTGTGTTTCTAGTTCTGTTGTCATTTAACCAAAGAGGCACAATTACCCAAAAGGAAAAGGTCCCCCAAATACTAAATTGTTTTCAACCATTAAATAGAACCAAACCTGAACATTTCAAAAACAATCTACTTTATATTCCAGAAATCTCTTAATCCAAATACTAATCATTTAGAACACACTTTTCTGAAAATAGTAAGACAACAGTTTCATATTAATCATAACTTTTTAATTAACAAGTAGTGAATAGGACACTTTAAAAGATTCTGTTTACTACATACTGAAATAAACATCTGTTGTAAATTCAGAAACCCAAACATTTACAGTAAGATGTGCTAACACATAAATATGACTGGATTAACCCCTGATAGGTCCTAAATACATGCAATTACCATGTAAAAACAAGACCATGAGTTGATGTAAAAAATGACAAATTCACTAAGTCACCAAAACTAAAAAAGAAATAATGAAATGGAAACTGAGAGGAGACAGTTAATAAAACAAGAAACCTAACAAAGCAGCTTTAAAAACAGGTGGTAATCTTACCAGTTTTGAAAGTTCTTAAATCATCTATTTCCCCAAGTTGTCATTTATAAAATGACATTCTAAAATCTATACTTGGAATTTCAAAACATTCCAATTCAGAAAGCTTTGACTACAGTTTCTCCTTAGCCTTGAAATTTAAATAATGCAGGAAAAGCATTGGTATCAGGAAGAAAATATTCTACGGGAATGGTATAATTTTTAGATAAACAAACTTACTGCTTTCAGACTTTTTTAAGACCCACAGCATTAACAACAGTAATTTTTCCTATTTTTACCCATTATTTTCCAATGTCATATTAGAGATGAATAAATTCTTTGAGCCCATAACTGAAAGATCAACAAACCCAGTTTTATTATGACACCATATTTTTGTCATTGGTACTGCACAAAATTATATACAAAGAAATATATACAAAAATGTTCAAGTATTAGTTGAATTTCAATTCAAGGCTTCTGTTTCAAAAAGCTACATTTAACATATTTCATAAAGATAGCACAAATTAGTCATTTCAAATAATTCTTCCAACTACTTTTGGTTTTTATGTATATATATATATAATTCAGTAGGCACTAAAAATCCATGCAGCTGCATTGTGAGGGGCTTGCTCTTGCCCTTAGGTATAAGAAAGTTCATCACACTCCAGGTTGTGAGTTTGACTATTACCCATTCATGCTCAAGTGCAGTAGATGATTTCACAAAATATGCTGTGATGCACTGGAAACCAGAGACCAATTTAGGTCTCAAGTTGTATTATCTAGCAACAAAACATTTACAGTTGTGCAAGAACAAAGATTCCATTTCCATAACCAAACAACAACAAACTAAAACATCTTATGGTGTAAGATAACTTAGATCTTTGGACTGCTGGAAAATACTTTTCAATTACGAACATTTTAAAAATAAAAGACAGCAGAAGCCCTGATATTACCTCTTTTTCCTCATTTCTTATACTACCTTTTAAAATAAAGCAGGAAATGTGGCCAGCAGCTGGTCCCGTCTCTTCTGCCCCAACAGCTGTATCCACTTTAGCACAAAGAAAAACAAGGATGCTAAATACGTATATACTTTATCAAACAGTGATGTTTCACAAAGAATTTCTTAATGCCCCTTATAATGAAGGACATTATAATTTATACAAGTGGACAATAGTTAAAAGTACTGCAACGGAAGAATATGTTCCATGTTTGGAAAAAATAACATCATTCCATTAAGTGGCAGAACCACTCAACTTTAAAAAAAAGTATTTTAAATAAGGAACATACATTTAAAATACAGTGAATTAAGATTCTTTGTGAAGCCTCACTTTACACGTTTTCATTCACATTTCACAATCTTCAGTATCTAATCATACATACATAAATTTAAGCTATAATGTCAATACAACATAAAAAAGTATCCAACAATTTATATGAGTGATAGGGTAATCACTGTGCTGGTCCTCAAAGAAACATTTCATTAGCATCCTTCCTCCAATTAACTAAAATACAAGAGTCTGATAGGTAAATCTGCAATTTTTCTAATAGTGAGATATTAAAATCTGTTACTTGAAGAGATTGTATTTTTGTATCTTCTACTGAAAACTAAAAAAACATTCTTGAATATTTAAGAGATTTCTGTCATCTCCAGCAAAATAACTGTTACATTTTGCATTTCTTAAATACTCATTGTCAACCTCTGAAAAGTTGCTCTAAAATTGGAATTCCAATTTGCACCTTGTACAACTCGGAACTTCCATTCAACTTCACCTGTTTCACTGTCTCCAAACTGTATCGCTATAAGCAGGTTTCAGTGTACAGTTGGAACCGATGTCATCCAAGGCCATGTCCACACTGGGTACAGAAGAGCTAGGTACACGCAAGTCTGAACAAGGGGACACATTAACAGCTATTTCAACCAGAAGCAGCATCTTAAATACATTATTGACCAGCACAAGTCTGTTTCCAGGGTGGACAGGGCCCAAATTAAGATTCCCCTCCCGCCTTTCAAAAAAGAAAAAAAAAAAAAAATCACACACACACACAAATTGAGATGTTGCCCATTAAAGTAGACTAAGCAGCAGAGCATGAGCGTTACGTGAAGAGATGGATCCTTACCAGGTTGTGAGGCGGGAACGACTGTTCTGTAACCCCTACAACGGAGCCTGGCAGGAAGGAAATCACCTAAAAAAGAAACTGTCAGAGAGATTTAATAGTCACAGGTTATCATTAGGAGCTGGTTACAGTGTCACATTCATGCTTTTAGCTAAACACTTAAAGATTCAATATTACTTTTTTCCTCCTCTGAAATGTGTCCAGTGAAGATGTCCCACTAAAGTGTTTTACATGGTGTTAGGGAGTTGAAAGGGGTAAACGCGGATAAAGAGCAGATTACTTGACCCTACATTTTAAGAGACGACGACGCCTTCCGAGCGCATGCCGAGCAGAACTCCACCGACACCTTATCCTTATCCACATGAAGACACACTCCTCCTGCCGACGACTCGTCCTCTTCCAGCAGGTCCTGCTGCTGCTTTCCTACAGGCAGGGCGTAGTCATGGTCACCGGCGGGCGAGTCTCTGAAGAGCGAGGTGGTCAGCCGCAGTCCCACGCCGCTCAGCCGGCTCAGCAGGCGAGCCAGTCCAGTCTCGTTGGCTAGGACCGCCCGTAGATAGCGACTCTCCTCCTGCAGTGCCTGGACGCGCCTGCCCAGCTCCCGATTCTCGGCTCGCAGCTCCTGGTTCTCGGCTGCCAGACCCCGAACGCGACTCTCCAAGCCCATCACGTATTCCTTCTTCTTTAGCCGATTAAGACGGGCTGCGGCCGCCGCCGCCTTCCGGGGACTCTTTGTTGCCGCCTGAGTGCTGTCGCTGCCGCTGCCGCCACTGTTGCTTCCTCCAGGAGACTTTCTCCGCCTCTTTTCCCCGCTGCCACTGTCACTGCCGCTGCCGCAGCCTCCGATACCGTTTAACAGCCTCTGCAGCAGGTCAGAAAAGCGCTGCATCTCAGCCGCAGCGGCCTCGTCGTCGTCGTCCCCTCTCCAAAGACCGCCGCTATCTGAGCCGCCACCAGACGAGGAGAGAGGCCCTGGCGAGCTGAGCCCGGGCTCCAAGTGCCAGTCCGGCTGCCGAGGGTCTAGCAGATCGGCCAGTTCCAGCCCAGACAAAAAGTCCATGTCCTCCGTCTCCTCCCCGGGGACGCCGACGATCGCCTCCTCCTCCATCTCCTCAGGCGAGGGCGCGCGCACAGCCTCGCCGCCGCGCCCCCACCTCCCGGCCTCCGCCTCGCCCTCGTCGCCGCGCGGCTGCTCGCAACCGGGAGACCCGGCAGCCGCCGTGTCCTCCTCCCCAGGTGCAGCGGTCGTCCGGTCCAGGGGGAGCGAGCAGGGGGCGGCCGGCGCCGGGCTCTCGCTGCGGGGCGGGGACTCGCGGCCTGAGGCTGCCAGCAGCTGGGTCAGGCTGTGCCTCATGGAGCCCAGCTGCGGGCCCAGGCAGGCCCCGACCCAAAGACCGGGCCTCGCGGGCCCCAGGAACCCCAGGCCCCAGCGCTAGCGGCTGGGGCGCAGGTCGGCCGCGACGAAAAGTGGGGCAAGGGCTGAGCCGTCTAGCTCTGCTGGTAGACCCCCCGCGCCGGGGCGCGGGGGAGGGATAGAAGAACAGAACAGCTAAGCCCAGCGATGACTCGACCGCACCGCCCAGACAACGGCCGAGCCGGAAGTTAGTCGCTGTAGCGACCCCGCCCACCGCGTTTCGCGCTCCACCAGGTTGCGGTATCGCGAGAGTTTATAGTGCCTTGGAGCCTCAGTTAATTCCAGTTTTCTGATGATGTCATAGTAACAGCGGCCGCACAATAAACCCCGACTGACCCCTGGCAACGCTGCGCAGTTCGGTAATGCTACCCTATACAAGCTCAACGTTTTGCCATATTTTGCTTATCTTTATATGAATAGTTGTGAATACTTTTTCTTTGCTAAACATTCCTAAATTGCAGATCACATACCTTAAAATATTTCAGTATGTCTCTAATAAAAATACGCCTGTCCATAAGCAAATGCTACTATGAAGTACTAAGAAAATTAGCATTTATTAATATAGTATATTTCCCTGGGCTGTATTCAGATGTTCTCAGTCTTTCTCAAAGCCCTTTTGAATGTACCTTATTGCATTTGTTTTGGGTTTTGGGTTTGGTTTGCATTTCTCAAACTAGTACGTTCTCTCCACTTTTTAATTTTTCTTCATACTGACTTTTGAAGCGACCAAGGCAGCTAAAAATACACCATATTCTAGATTTTTTAACTGTTTTCAAAAATCTTACTTTTCGAGCTCCACGAGGATTTGAGATTTGCAGTATTTATAAGTACATTAAAATGAAATGTATTGGTAGCGAAACAAAGCAATTCATGTACTTAAAAAGTCCAATAAGAATGTAAATGAAATAGCAAGGTAAGGAATTCAGAAAGAGAAAAATGTTAGCATTGGAATACAATGGACACAATATCTTACACAATTATTCTAGTTAGGCACAAAATAGATTAAACTTCCTGGTACTCCAAACAAAATAAAAAAGAAACAAAATTTCCTTTTCTGTCATGTAACCTGTATATAAATTCTTAAACTACTGTCCTACTTTTTTAGATGTTAAACCTCTAAGATACTGAATAATGCAGCAGATACTTTCAACAATAGTTGGTTTTATATTGCTGTTTCTTAAGAGCTGGAATACAGCTACCAGGAAAGCTGGACACTGAAAGATGCCAAGTATTCAGAAAAGTGCTTGGCACACCATAAGCTTCAAGAAATATTTGTTGCATGCATGCATGAATGAATGAATGTGTACAGTTTTTGGATGAAGGTGTAGCTCAACTGAAAGAAAATCCTGCAAGGGGGAAAATAAATGAAAGCCTTCCATGTCTTAACTTTTGCATTAGGAAAGTTTTTGCTACAGTAAAACAGCAAAGTGATACAAGTATTCCTGGTCTGCCTTGAAAACAGCTGTTTTGCATGCCCGGAACTGCATTTTCTCCAAAGGCATAACTCAACATTATGATTTATTTTTTCTGTATTATAATCTTACAGTTTAAGTATACATGGCTTAAAAGCCTCTCCAGTTTAAGAGATATGCAGAAAACCAAAAACTAAGTTTTTTAAAATGGTGTCTCAAAGAAAAAACAGTTGAAGCAAGAGTAAACTTGAATGAAATATTCCTCTTCCACCTCACCTTTCCTCTCTTTCCTTTTCCTCCTGCTCATTCTCTCCTTCATAGCTACTTCATCTTTTTCTGGTTATAATCACTGTAAAAAAAAAACTTAGATTATGCAGAAATGAATAATTAGTTATTATTCACAACCTACCCCAAATAGCCATTATTAAAATGTTAGTATGTTAGTTTTTCTATGTATAGACACACATTGGTTTATTTTATTTCTTTGAAGTCTCATTTGCAATGAACAAATTGTGGACATTTCCACACAGATAAATATAGATCTGTGTGTGTATTTTGTTTCGTTCTTTTGAGAGAGGCTCTTGCTTTGTGTAACTCAGACTGGCCTTGAATTTACCATGCTGTCCAGGCCAAGCTAGAACATATTTTCCTTCTACTTCATTCTCCAGGGTTCTAGGATTATAGTCATGCACTGCCGTGCCCACTTCTCCTTGTGCGTTTTTAGTGGTTATCTAGAATTACATTTCATGAACTTTCCAACTTTTTAAAAAAATCAATTCTAATACTCTAATACTAGGAATGCTAGAGGTGATGTTTTGGGTAAACAGGCGGGATTTGTATTTGCCAAGTTCCTTTTGCTTTTTTTTTGTCTATCCTGGGTAGCACTCCTGTGTTGGGTTAACAATCCATTTAATAAGAGTATTAATAAAGAATCTTGTCTTATTAAATTGTTAATAATCAAGTGTATGTTTGATTTAAGCTCCTGCAGGGAGAATGACTTCTTGTTACTAATATTAACATTATTTCTTCTATATAGTTACAGATTAATCCAATTGTTAGTCAGGGGAATTGGGATTAGGGATTATGTGGTTTGTTGAGCTTGAACACTTTCTTAATTGATAGCTGCTTTTAGGCCAACTATGGTGGTTGTGTTTGTTTACCCACTGTTGAAGATTGTTTCCTTACTTTAAAGAGCTGTCCCTCTTTAAAATAAGTTTTAAGTTTTCATTAGATTTGGAAATATTTTAGGAAAATATTTTTAGGAAAAAAAGCTGAATTAAAATTCTTATTTGGATAACCAGCTATCACCAAACTCGGTTGGCTTTTCACCTCTACTTCAGAATCTTCCATTTTGCCACATAGATGAGTTTTCTCTGCTAACTGTTTGGAAGTAGCTCTTTTGGTTTCAGTTGGTTGACTTCAGTTCACTTTGCCAAGTCGATTCTAGTTAACTCATTATACAAGAGGTGGTAGGGGTAATCTATGCCTTTTTTTTTTTACTATTTAATTTTATCTTTCATCTTTCCTTTGCGGTACTCTCTATAACAGCAGAAAAAAGATTTTATCTCCTATACTTTTTAAGGTAAATGCTTTGTTTTATAGTTAGTGTGATAGTTGTGGTTAGTAGGATTTTGGGGCTAGAAGGAGTTCAAAATGGTCATTGGTAGTTTAAATCTTCCGGGCGTAGGCTTTGTTTTAAGCTACACTTTGTTTCCAAGCACACTTTGTATTAAATATTTTAGTATTAACTATATGCTTTTGTACAAGTATCTTGGTTCACTTTTCTAAAATAACTTTCCTGGAATAAAGTATTAGTAGAATTTGTGTGTAGAATTTTTATACATAAACTGTTATTACCTCTCACCAATGATGTAGACTATATTTAGTTTCCCACCTACCTACTCAATGACAGTAGATTTATTCTTTTTAAATGTTTCCATCTAAAAATAAAAATATGCTTTTTGTGAATTTGATTTTTTTTTTTTTTTTTGGAAAATAGAGTAATTTCCATGTGGTCAATTCACTTTTTATGTGAATGGCATTTTTATTTCTTTATCTACCTTTTTGGGGGTTTTTTTGGTAAAGCAAAATGTTTTTTAAGAAGATATTTTGCCGGGGCTGGAGGTTTAGCTCAGCGGCATAAGCACCTGCCTTGCAAGCAGGCGGTCGTGATTTCGATCCCCGGTACCGATAAAAAGGAAAAAGACCAAAAAAAAAAGAAGATATTTTGCCTTTTTCCTTCTTGATTTACCAAAACTCTTCTCATTATAAGGATAACATCCAAAACTTTTTGTCCATTTTACTATGTACTAGAAGTGTTTATTAAAGCTGCTAGTTTTAATAGACAATAATTTCTAAATAGTTAATATATCAAAATTATCTTCATGACTTACTGCTTGATTTTAAACTATTTAAAAGCATGATTAGCATAAATACTGATATTTTTCTATGTAGCACTTTCTGTATTTTTAGCACAGGATACGACTGTATGCCAAGTCTTTGAAAAAAAGTAGTAAGGCAATATAAGAACTCTGTAAGCTTCATTATTTTATTGTGAAACTAAAAGTATATAACCCTGTACACTGTAGAGGCACAGCTCCCCATAGTCAAGTAAAGATTATGCAAAACTTGATCCATCTCAAACATTTTTATTAAACTGTATTTATCTAGAATTGCAAGACAAACCTTAGGAAAAAAGATTTACTCAGCTATTTTACACACACACACACAGTCTACTTTGAATTAGATCTTATAATAGGCCATTGTGAATATAAAGATAATCAAAGGTAAAGTTTTCAAGAAGCAAATGTCATAGTAAAAAAAATAAAATGAATAAGAAAATATTAACTAATAAAAAGCTATACAGAACGAACTTCTTTTTTGTGTGTTTGTTTTTGTGTTTTGTTTGGGGGAAGGGTCACTGTTCATGCTGGCCTTGAGCTCACTGCGATCTTCTTGCCTCAGCCTCCCAAGTGCTAGGATTACAGGTGTGGGCCACCACATCCTGCCTATACAGATTTAGAAACAAATCTATGGTTCTTTTAGATTGGATGGGTCAATGGGGTATTTGAGGAGAAAATATTTAAACTAAAATCCTAATCCCCAATTCTGTCTTCAGATGACAAAAACGTGGTTGGAAGAGTGGACAAGAAGAGAAATTATGTGGGATGTCTTAGTATATATGTTAATTGCAACTAAATAAATGCTATGTTTACAAATACACAGCATTTTATTGGAACTCTGAAGAAAACCATGTTTCTAGCAGGCGTGTAATACAAACATAAACTAATGTAAGATGTATAGAGAGTCGTTGATATTTTCTCTCTTGAGCTTTCCTTGCTTTTCCTTAATATATGTAACAGTTTTTCTCCATATAAGATTTTAAATTCTTTAACCATAGATTTTTTTTCTACTCCAGAAGAGCATTATCTCATTCTCTGAAACATGCACGTGTACATTTTTCAGTTGAGACACCAGAAGACAGTGCCTATGGTGTATACATGGATTAGGAGAATGTTGTCACTTGAGATTGATGGAAAGGATAAATTATAGAGTTAAATAGTGCCCTCTCAAGAGAAGATCATCAAAGACAGCATAACTTTACCTTGATTCCTGAATTTTAGCCTATAGAACAATGACAGTGTATTTCAGTTGTTTTAAGCTACCTAGGTTTGGATCATTTTTTTAAAGAAACAAAATGGTACGAAATTTCAAAATAAGATTGTAGGAGAATAACAATGGTTAGTGCATTGCATATTATTTTCAAAGTAGATGCTACTATTACAAGCTATAGGTTTGAAAAATTGATCAAACAATTTAGACACACTTTTCAATGAACTAGTATCAATACTAGTATTAGTATAACTGTCTTAACTGGTTTTTTTGTGTATATACATATACATATATATTTTTTTTTCCTTTTCTCTTCCTTCAGTTATTGGTATTTTGTTTCAGCAGCCACACAAAAAAATTGAGATGAGGAGAGGCTGACCAAATATACTGACTTTCATTGGTTTAGAGCGATATTTTCAATTTGAATTTAACATTAAATGACTTATTTAACTTTTTTAGTATCTACATTTACACTCTGAAAATATTTTCCCTTAGCAATATTAATATAAATATTTTTGTTTTTGTCTAATACCTAAAAGGCATAATACCAACATTACCACTAATAAAACAAGTGAAATTTACTAAGATTTCTTTGTAGTTCTAATTAACCTCAACATATATTCCATTAAGGATATTCATTGAAAATAACTGTTTCCTAAAGTTGTTTGGAGAATTCTTTTCTCTGTATTGTTACACCAATGTGAATTTCATGCAATGCCCTCATCTCAGTTACTGAAGGTTTTAGCTTTCTGGTTTACTCTCTATCCTAGTTATACCTTTTCAAAGATCAACCAGTTAATGACACTCAAAATTTGAATCTAGGCACTCTGATCCCAATGTGGCATTCTATTCTGGACTAACATTCCAGTTAGCTTGTTGATCATAGAACTACATTTCCAAAGGGCCCAGTGAGAGCATTTGAGCAGGATGGAAGGGGGAGGATTGAGTCAGATTCTGAAGGCTCAGACTTCTGGCAGGGACTACAGTAAATATGGATGTGAGTGTAAATGGATTAATCTGGCTAGAAAATCTCCTACCTTAATCTATTGTGACAGCTCATTCTGCAGCCTTGAATGGTACAGCTGTTGGAAAGGCAACTTTCTTATCTAGGAACAGGAAGTGCTGTGAAGGCTTCTAGGCACTGATACTGTCATGCTTTTTTCATCTCTTGGACACCTGTAACATAGTCTTCAGACTTTAGCTTAAATATCCTTCTAGAAAAGTTTTCCCTACTTTCTTTTACATTAGGTTTGGAAACTTTGGATATATTTTCATGTCCCCCTAATTTTGAGCATTGTTCTTATCCACTAGGATGGAAATTGAGAGAAAATTATATTTTTATCTTGTTCAGATTATATAGCAGCACTTAAAATATCTCCCCAATAAGAAACACTCAACAAATATTTGCGAAATTAATGTTACTATGAAATGAATGAGTAAAGGGTTAAGATAGAATGATTCAAATGGCTTGGACTTGTCCTGCTGCTACCATCTTTCGTCTGTTAGTGCAAAACAAAGAATCATCCAAAGCACACTCAACAAAGGCTGACCATATGAGAAAAGAGACTTCTAAAATCTAAAATTTATATGAACATATGAAAGTCCCTGAGATATGCTAACAATATAAATCTTTAAATGCAAGAGAAAAATATTAATCATTGAGAAGGACTCATTAGGGCAGATCAAGATATCATCACTAGCCGTGTATTGCTGCACATTTGTGAAAGCAGCAGCTTCCAGCTGAATAGCCTGACCCAGATCTGTCAGGCCATATTTGGCTTTATCCAAAACACATATAGCCTACCTAGATCCTGGAGAGGAAAAGTCTGCAGGCCTTTTAGACACATACAAAGAAATAGAATTTACTAGAAGATTTTATGTGTGTTTTTAATTTTACTATTTTTGAATAGGTGATGTAGTCTTATAGTTCAAACATCAAATTATATAAAAATGGCACATAGAGGTTCCTTCCAGTGACTAATTTTGATCACCTTATTCTCTATACCTCACCATATCAGTAAGTAACCACTTTCATTAGTGTTTTTTCCAGTGTGTATTTAAACATACAGAAGTAAATGTACTTCTATTCTTATTCCCTTCTTTCCTCTCCCTGTTGCACAAAAGAAAGCATATATCATAAATATTATTCCACTGATTTTTAAAAACATATACTGTATCCTGAAGATACTTTTATATCAATACACAAAAAGATTTGTGTTTCTTTCACAGTTGCATTGTGTTTCAAAGAGTAAAGGACCCATGATTTAGCTAACCTGTTCTCTTTCAATGATACATAAGCTATTTTCAATCTTTTGACATTACAAATAATATGATGAATTTGTGTCAGTCAACTTGGTATCACTATAACAAATACCTGAGATAATCAACTTACAAACTTACAACTTTATTTTGGCTCACAGTTTTGGAGGTCCAAGATTGTTGGCTCTGTTGCATTTGGGCAAAGCAGCACATTATGGCAAGGACACGTAGCAGAATAAAACCACTCAACCAGGGAGCAAAAGAGAAAAGGATCAGCATTTCATAACTTCAAAGCATGCCCCAAAGACCTCCTGTTTAGCCTCACATTTTACAGGCTTCACTATCCCACAGCTGCAACATTCTAGAGGCCAAGCCTTAGCATATGGGCCTACTGGGGACATTGAAGAGCCAAACAATACCTAACCTTAAATGTGACAGAAAAATTATTTTAGACTAATATAAGTAACAGTGGATTTGAGCATTAAGTAGGAGCAGTCTGGCAACTACCAAAGGCAGAAGTACCTTTGTCTACCTGGAGAGTAAGGAGGTTGTCAGGTAAATGTGATAAATGACCAGGCAAATTTTGCAAGGGAAAGTTTTCCTTGAATTAGTTTTGTCCAAATGGGATTTTAAAAAAATGTTTAGAAGACAACAGCCTCAAGTAAGAGATTCATATATATAGACTCAAGTCTCTAAGTTTAATGCTTTTAATCTTTGGAAAATAGCGTCATTTGTCCATAGGTACAGCACAATTAGAAAGCATATTAATCAGTGTCTGATGATTCTTTAAGACTTGTGATTAAAGAAACAAAGATGCCCCCTACCTGATCTAAGCATCTGGCAATCTCAGCAAATGTAGTACAGTATGCATTGTTGGAGGCTCACTGAACATTCATCCCCCTTCATCCCTCCTGGCGGTGATCTACTTATCTCAGGCAGCCCCTTCTGTTATGCAGCAGAGACTGCCCTCACTCCTGTCCAAGACCTGGATCCTAATTGCTCTAAATTAATAATAGAAACATGCTCTAAAGAAGATGCTTGGCTGAGGTATTTCAAGATAATTCAATTGTGACCAATTGATGCTGGAAGACAAGCCTCCTGATTTGACAGGGTAGGCTTATAAGAGCACAGTCATAACTGTGGTCCTCTTTCTTTTGTGGAACAACAGGTGGGATCTCAAGTGTCTGCTCAGTTTTCTCCATCTAGTCATACTAAGGAGGAAAGAATAATTCCAGTCCTGAGCCACCCACTGAGCCTATGGGCCAATGAAAGCCAAGTACTCTTTCAAAAATGCTCTTTAAATAGTAATTGAAGTTTGACTGCAGTACAATGGAATTGCTCGACATTTTCTATTAAAACTATCTGTACTAAAAACAAATTAACTTAAATTCATTTCCACTAACACAGTGAGTACTCTGAAAATATTAAGTTTACTTTTCCAATAGCTCTCAAGAGCTTATAATTTTTAGAACCAGAGGACTTCCTCAGAGGTGCACCAAAAGCCTTCTCATTTAGTAATCTTAGGACAGATCTCACTAAGCTACACAAGGCTATGTACACATTACCAGTATTTAGTTTTACAATTTCTGTTCTGCTTTCATTTTAGGGAATCTGTTTGTGGATTTTCAAGACAAACCCAATGATGATACAGATTTTCTTTGGAAAGTAGTTTTTTTTTCTTATCAAAGGCATTGGGTTGGAAGGGGAAAATTTATATCTTACTGATTTGTTCCAGTGATAATCATCACTGTATAGAGTAGCAGACCACAGCAGTTAAACTTACTGCTCATCCCGGAATGTAATTCTGGGTCACAGATCAAATATACGCTGACCAGTGAGATAGTGAAATGCAAGGTGACATCAAGCATGGAGGAAAGAAATTTTAAGACTGTTTCAGAGGTAGTTTGGTGAAAGGGGACATGGATTTTACTGGGGTGTGTGTGCATGTAAATTTTTTCCCAGATACTTATTGGTAATGTCCTGTACAAAAGGAATGTGAGGTCCCTTATTTAAAACATTGAGAATTTCTTTGCAGTGTAAATGGAGCATTAAGCCAAGTATAGGGTCCTGTGTAGGTGACACACTTATAAAGTCTTGATCGAGAGCTTTCAGTTCAAATTTCACATTGCACAAGTCACCACCTCTGAGTCTGTCTTGTTGCATCTGTAACAGAGTGATGATGAAAACTCCCCTGAAGAGCTGTGTGAGGGTAAACTGAAAAGCACTTGGTGCACAATAGGTACACATTCCCCTTACTTTGTTAGTCTGTGTTGCGGGTTCTTTTCCTCAATTATCTCTAGGCATTGGCCATTAACTTTTCTCATTTCTCATTTTCCTTTTAAAATCTTTTAAAATGATATTCAAATGAACTTGATAAAATGGCCCATATCTGACCACTTAGGATCAACTTTACATGGTTCAGCCTAATATATACTCTTGATCATGGCTTTGAGTAATACTGCATGGCTGAGGCAAGTGGGCCATCTCCCTTTCACCCATGTTCTAGGCACGTGCACTGCTCTCTGTCTAGCCCCTCCCTATGCTCCTCACGGGCACCCTCCTCCACCTAAGGTGGCAGCAAAGGCAGGAGGAAGGAGAGACTGTTGACACACAGGTGAACCAGGCCCCTCACAGCCTGAACCTGGATGGGAAGAGGAGTGGGACCACAGTTTCCATTTGTAGGCTTGTGTTTCTCTCCTCTGTCCTCCATCATCCTCCTTCCAATAGAAGAGGTCAGCCTGGCTAAGATTCTCTATATTCTTGCTTCAACCTACTCTTCAGGTTTAATTTGTAGTCACCTTTCTCTGTACCAAGTACTTATACAATTTCTTAAGTATTGTAGGCATTTTCAAAACTTCTATTCCTTCTGCATATCCTTTCTTATTTCTACATGATGACATTCTATTTCAAGAACCAGCTTACATGTTAGTTTTCCTTGGGAGCCCTCTCCACCACCACAACCCTTGTCTCCAGGCAGAGTTATCCTGTTCAGACCCCGCTAAAAACACATAACACCTCGTGTGAAAACACAGCACACTGTGTGCAGTGGTTTTGGTTGTGCCTCCACCACCCTCCCAGACTAGACCAGTGATGGCGAATCTTTTAGAGTTTTGGGTGATAACAAACAGCCTGCCCTGTGGCACACCGGGCAGGGCCCTTCCAAGGTAGAAAATGCATCACTATGCTTATTCTCAGTTCTTATGCCAGTACATGGTACTCAGTAGTTAACAATTACTTTTCTGTGAAAAACAATTTCAGCAGGAAATCTCAGCTCCCTAGTGACCAAGTAGTCTTAAACAAACTGCTGAAATCCAGTTTCCTCTTCTTTGAAGTAGGAAGGAACACAATTACCTTCTTAAATAACCCTAAGTGATAAACAAAACAGTATCTCCAAATTGCTTCAACACAATGATAAATAGTATGGGTTCAATAAAGGATACTAGGCTAAATTAGTTCTTATACTCTGATTCTTTGTAAGCTGTGGAGAGGAAGCAAACAGTCCTTGCAAGCCAACAAAGTACTTTCTATTTTTTAAAATTTTTTTTATAGATACCAGGAATCGAACTCATGACCACACGCTTGCAAGGCAGGTGCTTATGCCGCTGAGCTAAATCCCCAGCCCAGTAGTTTGTATTTTGATAAGAAAAAATTGTACATAATAACAGAATCTTAATAGAATTATTTTTAAAATAAGTTTAACAAATTCCCTGAGGTAACACTTGCTTGGAAGTGGTTTATTTAACAAAGGCCTCAAGTTTTTTTTTTTTTTTTTTAGTAAATCCAATTTGTATAAATCTTGATATACTTGGCACCAGATGAAAAAAAACTCTACACTACAAATTTCTTTGTAGTGTCACCTTCCTAAGAAAGTTTATATATCCATAACAACAGGAAAATAATGAAATATACAGTATTTTTAACAATTAACTTTAAGAACTTTGCATAAATATGTATAACTATAATATTTTATAATGATTTCTATGAAAATGTCATAAGTAAGCATACACACATTTAACTTAATTTTTAAAAATGAAAAAGTTAATTCCAAGAAACACCAATGGAAGCAGAAAACAATTGCTATGAATTATTATGTAAATTATAACAAGTTTGATAATACTTGTTACCCCAAACCAAGACTTTTTTTCTGTTAGCATATTGTGGATTACATGAATTTGCATTATTGCCTATGTAAATCCTACCTTTATATGGAGAAAACATAGAAAATGGAATATAATCTGAGCTGTCAGGAAAAACAAAAATTGGTTGATTTATTTTAATCTTATTGCTCATATGGAGTATTTTGGTGAATAAATCTAATCTAAATCTTTGTTCCCCAAGCTCATGAAAAATAAAGTCAGACACTTTTCTGCCAAGTACTCATAATATTAATTATGTTATCAACTATTTATTTCCTATCTCAACTATGGGGGACCATAAACCTACCTATCTGCAGTAGTTAATTGTGTTATATTTTTTTCATAATGGCACATCTTATTGTATACTTTAGATTCATTTGAAACATGGAAGCTGCTAATTTTAAATCCTAAGATACATTAAGACACCTGATGCTGAGAGTGAATAAGTTACAGGGTAGGAAAGACAGATAGCAAATTTAGAAGACTTCAAAGGTACAGAAAGAACGCTGGTAAATATTGTATATTTGCAATGGTAGAACTGAACATTGGCATTAGCTTTACAATAGTAAGAAAAGAGTTTCATAGTAAAGTAGCTTTTCTTTAAGTTGCCTTTATGCTTACAGGTATAATAATGGAATATCATCTTAGCTCTTGCCAAAATGCGAAGGGCACAAATCCTGCGATTAATAAGGGATGGACAAGCAGAGGCTTCCTTATGGTTGGAAATGGCGTAGCTTGGCATTGAGCTCTCTCTCCTTGTTTAAAAGATCCAGAGTGTGCTTTTTGAAGGCTTCTGACTGCAGCCTGAGTTCATCATAGGCATTTTGGATCCCATCCACCTTGCGCTGCAGCTCTTGGACTCTCAGGTTGCTGTCCACAGCAGCTGCCTCTCGCTCAAACCGCTCTAGTGCATGCTTCCTGGCCAGATCTGCTGTCTCCAGCTTCTCCTCGAGCTGGCGGATCTCTGCCTGCTTGTTCTGAAGCACCTTGCCCCTCTCCATGGACAGCTGCAGCAGCTCCTCTTTCTCCTGTGTAACTGTCTGCAGGCTGGCCTGCAGCTCCTGGCTCAGCCTATTGTGTGTCTCCCTGGCATTCACCATCTGCTCCACAGCTTCCTGGTGCTGTTGTTTAAGGCTCTGTAGCTGGCTGTGCAGCTGCTCCATCTCCTTGGCATGGGCACAGGCCTGCTGGCTCTGATGCTCTAGTAGCTCTTTCTCTCGGGCCTGTGCCTGGCTGGCATCCTGAGTGCATCTCTGTTTCAGAGCCTCCAGCTCCTTGGTAAGAGCCTCACTCTGGATGGTGAGCTGCAGTACTCTGGCTTCCTTGTCTTGCAGAGCCTGGCTGAAGAGGTTGGTGTTTTCCAGCCTTAGCTTCTCATTCTCCTCCCTCAGCTTGATGTTCTCACTCTTGTGTTCATCCTTGAAGCGAATCATCAGTTCATGGTTGGCTGCCAGGGTTTTAAAGCGTTCCTCTAGCTGCTGGGCATGTTTTCTCTGAGCCTTCAGCTTCTCCACCTCCTGCATCCTCTTCTCCTCCAGCTCTGTGTTGACTAGCTCCAGGACCTGGCAGCGCTCCAGGGCCTCATCTGACCTTCGCTTCAAGATGCAGATGAGCTGGGACTGCTCTAGGATACGGGAGCGGAGCATTGCCTTTTCACTCCTTTCTTCCTCAGACAGGCCCCGGAGGTTGGCCAAAGCTTCCCTCAGCCCATCCAGCTCCTTAAACCCCATCTCCTCTTCCTCGCATTGCAGTTTTTCATTTTGCTTATTTAAGGACCCCTCAGGGGTTGGGGTGTCCATCCTGAGAGCCTGCCCTTCCTCAGGCTTAGACTTGCCTGCCTACAAACAGCTGCCTCCCCAGTCTCTCTCCCTCTCCCTCTTTCTCTCTCGGATTTCAAAGCTGTAAGATGTTGCTAGGGACTCTTGGCACTACTCTGCAGTTGGCTTTTCCAACAAGGAGCCTTGTGATTGGTGGACCGGCCTTCAGAATGCTGTGAAGTAACAATAGGGAAGGCGAGGGTCAGACCCAGCCTGCTCAGGTTACGTTCACCATTCTAACCAGTCAGCCCCTAGTTCTTAGCCATTATCTGGCCAGTAAAGTACAGAGGTGCCGAAGCCTTTCACCTTCTAGTCAGGAAACCGTCTACCTAAATTCGTGGTAGGAGTAAACGAACAAATCTTACAATGACTTATTCTTCCTCCCCGCTCTCCTCCAGTTGTCATGAAAATAAATTACTGCTTATATAAACACAGTTGGCTCTTCCAAAGTGTGTATTCTATAAAGTTGCAGTAGTATGCTTTGGAAGCTAGGACCTTAATGGATAGAAGTCTGCCCCCTACTGTTTGATCCAGGTGAGTTTTGCTGTTTCAATATCGAAGCAGCAAACCAAGGAGAAATTTCTTTTGTTTCCCTTATAATTGTTTTTATCTGAGAACAGGTAATCTTTATTAGATATTCAGCACTCCTTTTTTTAAAACTCGTGTATAAGGTTACAGGAAAAAGTTTAATGAACAATACAGATGTAAACATTAAAACAACAACAAAAAGATCCAAATGAGGCTTGCTATCATATAGTAAAGTCAATTCCAATGAATTAAATAGTTCAATGTAATGTAAAAATTTTTAAAAAATCAAAGTATCAACAATGGAAGCTGGAAGAAAATGAAAAGAATCAAGTCTCAGGTTCTGGAAGGACTTTCTTAGCTCAAAAAGGGAAAGCAGAGAATTAGACTTCATTGAAAAACCTATTATTAGGTACAGTTTTTAAAACTATGAGGTTTCTCTAGCTTTTTGATCTTCTGGAATTGTCTGACATTTTATTCTCTACAATGTCAACCAGATTTCTGGCCCTGCTTGTAGATATTCTGCCTGGAATGTCCCTTATCACTTCAGTAATTTGCTCAACTTTTTATACTTAGTCAAGAAGCATCTCCTCTATGAAGATTTCTGTGCCCTCTACATGTAGGATTGTCCACTCACCTCTTTTAGGGCCTCTACAGTAGGCTCATTATACTTCTGATGAGGCATAAGAAGGCTTTATTTTATTGCAGTCATTGCTTATCTGCCTGATTTCTCCATTAAGTTTAATATCATGAGGGGTAGAAACTGTGTCTCTTTCATCCTTGGTGATTACATCGGTACCTGACATATTGGATAGCCTCAGATAAATGTGTGTTGAATAAATGTCAAAAGCAAAAATCAAATCTAAAGAAATATCCACAATAAAGATGTCAGACACGATTTATATTTTCTAAAGAACTTACACACATTAATAAAATATCAACATGTTAAAAGAGAAATGAAAAATTAAATTCACAAAGGAAAAGAAATAGCTACAAATTTAACCTCAAATTGTGATTCAACACATGCAAGTTAAAAATAGGGTTTTTTCCCATTTTTAACTTTATTTTTTAATTATATATTTGTCATACATATGAATCACATTCATCATAGGGAATTTGTACTTGTACAACTAATTATTTTTCTATCCCCCTCCACTCCCTTTAACTCTTTTCCTCCCCATTTACAAAATTTTTGTTTCCATTTCTCCTTTCATTCTTTTTTTCCTTTTCCTTCCTTCCTCCTCCACTCCCTTGTTCACCTTCCTATTTGAATATTTTATGTTCTTCCTATTTGCTAAGATCTATCCTTCATTATATCTCTTATTTACCCTTTGGGTTTCTTACACAAGAGAACACAGGGATATTTACACTTGTGTAATAATAAATTTATTTTGCCTAAGATTATGGCCTTGAGGTGCTCCTATTTTTCTACAAATGACTCTACTTTGTCCTTTATGGCAAGGTATTACTCCATTGTGTGTAAATGCTACATTTTCTTTATCTATACATCTGTTGATGGGTATATGGGCTTTTTCCAAGATTTAGCTATTATAAATTGTGCAGCTATAAATGCTGTTATGCATATATCACTGCAGGATGATGCTTTTAACTTAGAAAGATACCTAGAAGGGGAACAGCTGGATAAAATGAAACCTTTAGTTTTAGTTTTTTGAGGACTCTCTCTACTGACTTACATAATAGTTGTACCAGTTTACACTCCCACCAGCAATAGAAAAGGGTCCCTCATTACAACTTTATTGATGCTTGTCTGATTTTTCATATCCACTAGTATTTGTTTTAAACAGTTGGGTGGGCTGGTATTTTGTCTACCCACATCCATCTATGTATCTATCTATTTATCTGTCTATCTATCTATATTTTTTAAGGCAGAGTTTCACTGTATAGTGTAGGCTGGTCTTGAACTTGCTTATTTAGCCCAGGCTGGCCTCAAACTCATGGCAAATCTCCTGTCTCAGCCTGCTGAGTGCTGGGATTACAGGCCTGCTCCGTCAAGTCTGGGTGATGTATTATTTTTATCTCTTCCTTTTGGATCTTTCCTCTAACAAATATATAGTGACCTTCTTTGTCTCATCTTAGACTTGGCTTGAAATCCACTTTGTCTGCAAATAGAATAGCTAACCCTGCTTTTTCTAAGTTCCTTTCACATGAAATATCCTTTTCCACCCTTTGACTTTCAGGGTGTGAATTTCTTTTTAAGATAAATGTGTTTCTTGAGTGCATCAAATTATTGGATCTTTTTTCTGATTCATTTATCTCATCTTCTTTTGATTAGTGAGTTGAGGCCATTCACATTGATTGTTTCAATGACAGGTGTTGGTTTATCCTTGTTATATTACTTTTTCTGCTTTTGGTTCCTTTTTCCCATCTGTTTAATTGCTTTCCTTGACTGGTGGATTCAGTCTATTGTGATTCTTAGAATTGTCTTTTTTCTAGGATATTCTCCAAAACTTTTTGAAGTACTGGTTTGTCAGTCATCTTTAGGTATTCTTTATCATGGAAGTATCTTATTTCTCCATTAATTTTAAAAGATAATTTTGTGGGGTATATCAACCTGGATCTGGTTGTTTATTTTTAGGACTTGGTATAATTAATGCCAAGGTCTTCTTGACTTAAAGGTTGTGTTGTGACCTCTGCTATGATTCTGATGAGTTTTCCTTCATAGGTGATATGTTTCTTTTTCTCTAACAGCTTTTAATCTGTTCTTGTGTTGTATTTCTGGAATACTATTATTATATTTCTAATCATAGCTATTTGAGATTCTATATGCCTCATTTATCTGTATCTCAAGTTATTTTTCCATTCTGCTATTACTTCTGTGAGGTTTTTAAATGCCTTTTGTTCTATCTCCTGATTCTTTATTGATTCCAATTAGTCATATTCATCTTCATATCATGTAGCAGCTGTTGGGTTTATTCATGGTCCACTGCTATTTTTAAATGATCTTTCACTTGATGATCACAACCCACAATACTGTCTTCTAGATCTGGTATTCTATCATCACACTGCTTGACTCTGTGTATACTTTCAGTAGAATTTTTAATTTCCTGGATTTCCATTTGAGTCTGTTTTACGAAATCTGGTTTTTTCTGTGTTAGTTATTCATAGTTTCCATGTCTTTCTTAAACCATTCTATTTTTTTAAATCTGTGTGTATTCTACATTTGCTAATCCTTTCCTTCATTGTGGTTGTCATCTCTTTATCTCTGTTTTGTTTTTGTCAGATCAATTGACCTGTTTTGTTGCTTTCACTGCCACCACTTTATAGACGTCAGCTGAGAAGTTTTTGGTTTCTTCTACTTCAATGGCCCCTTGATTTGCCTTGGGCGAGTTGCGGGTCATGGGATGTATATTGGCTCCATGTGTTCTATTTTCTTTATTTTTTCTCTGGATTGAGACCTGTAAATTGCTTGTGGTAGGTAGTTTTACTGCTAATATCAAAACTTCTTTAAAATTACTACTTTTCAAAGATGTCTTCTAGGCATAGCTGGCTTTTGGCTCTTCAGTCTGTCCTAAGATTCTGCCCCATCAGTTTATTATGAATGAAGGGTTGCTGACTGCTTGGTCTAGCAGTCAGTTCTTTGGTACTGGGCTATAATATTGTTTATGATCCTCAAGCAATCTAAGTAATGGTATGTAAGGAAGATAAATTTATCACAATAACTGTCACCTTGGCTAATGTAATATAGTCAGTAATAACAAAGTCATCAAGCACAGACTAGGTGATGACAAATTGTGATACTTATTAATTTGCCAGAATTAACCATATGTACAAGAGTTATGGTTATATGACAAAATCTGACACAAATCAGAAAATTACGTGCAGTAAATATTCACTCAGTGGAGTCATTTTACCCTAATGGAAGAAAATTTAAAAGGGATAAGAAGAAAAAATAAAGAAATAAATGAAAGAGATTAGAAGCAAGGCTAAAGGACAAAGAAAGATAATGCAAGCCTCGAGAAACTGGTGAAGAAGACAGAAGGAAAAGAAGGAAAAAACAAGAACAAGAACAAAACTAAACTAAAACTAATGTTTACACACATGAAAAACAAAAACAAACAAGAAAAAAAAAAGAACCAAGTAAACAACAAAAGAAAAAAAATTCTCTGTGATTTCTTGGCTACAGTTTTGTGACAGTGTCCCATTCAGGGCATGACTCTGCTATTGCTGGTAGACAAAGGAGGCAGCCAGAATCCAGTCATGTGCTGGATAATCCCAAGCAAACTGTCAGTATTATTAGAGCAGGGTTGAGGACAATCCCAGCAAGACTGCAGTAGGATTTGGGCTGGATACCAGTTCTGATATTTTCAAATACACAGAAATTCAGGCTGATTCTGGTCAAGATCTCTGGTCATGGGGTCAGGGCCTGAGCTGTTCAGCCTACAATATTCTGGGTGTCTCTTGTTGACCTGACCATGGTTTCTTGACTCTGGATGTTTCCTGAAGTTGTCGCTCACTCCAGTGATGGTGGAATTTCAACACTCAGAGCCCTGAAATGAAGCCAACCCATGGCTGCTCTGAATCCCAGGTTTAGCTGGCCCCGCCCGAAAATGGTGCCCAGTCAAGCA